CGGGGGCCCCCTCTTCTTGTGTATATGAATATAAAACATTTTCTTCTCGTTGCATGCTTGCTGCTAACTCATTATCCTTTGCTTGTGTTGCTGCTGCAGAGGTAGGGGGCCCCTCCTCTTGCTGCTGCTCTGCATTGGAGGGGGCCCCAGCAGTGTTTGCTTTCTTTTCTTCATCTGTTGTGTCTCTCGGCTTTGCTTGCTGCACCGAAGGCTCAAACCCCAGACGCAGCATCTGCTGCACTTTTTCTGCTGCTGTTGCTGCTGTTGTTGCTGTTGCTTCCTCTATACCCTCCTCCCGTACAGCCTGAAGCCAAGCTTCCAGCAACGCATCTTCTGCAAACCCCACGCACAAACCCTAAACCCTAAACCCTAGTAGCCCCTAAACCCTAAATAATGAATAAACCCTTCTGCGAAAACAAACCCTAAACCCCTCCTTGAATTCACCTACAACGCAAAGCACCACAGCCTCTGCTTTCCCAACGCCGTAGGGTTTAGGGTTTAGGGTTTAGGGTACTACTCACCGACACGGTTTGCATTAGGGCCTTCATCTGCACCTATGAAACCAAGCACAGCCTTATCCCCGTCTATATGACCAGCAAGAAACCCCCTCGTTCGTCCTTCAGCATCAATAGCTAGATACATCTGCGGTAGAATGTGTGAAGAAGGCTCCTTAGAGGGGGCCCCCCCTGAACCCTTCCTCCATCTAGACCCCCAGGGGGCCCCCCAGCTGCTTCCCCAAAGCGATCCCTCTACCTCTTGACCCCAGCTTTCTTCAGTTTCATCAAATAATGCTTCAAATGCAGCTTCAAGTGTAGGGGGGCCCCCAAAGATCTCGCTGAGGACCCCTGCAGCAGCTAGCTCTTTAACACCTTCATGTACAGCAGAAGAGGGCCCCGCATAAGATGCTGCCCATAGAGCTTCTCTAGGAGAAACTGCATAAGCACGAGTAAAGAGTGAAGGAGCTCTTATTGTTGCATGCAGAGAGTTAAAGAGGCTTATGAGGTTTTCCCTCTCCTCAGCTGCACTGAGCTGATGATGGTAGTGCTGAAACGTCCGATACTGCTGATAATGACGACGATGCTGCTGCCGATGCTGATGCTGATGCTGATGCTGATGCTGATGCTGATGCTGATGCTGATGCTGCTGCTGTTGCTGCTGCTGCTGATGCTGATGGCCCCAACAGAAGTCACCGTGCAAAAACGCAGCAACGCGCAGCAACAGCAGCAAAAGGCCCCAGGGGGCCACCCCCCCTCCGCGCCGCTGCAGCAACATCAAGCTGCTGCGTCTTAGTAGGTGGGCTTCGGAGTGTATCGACAGAAAACAGTTGCAAGCATCAAATGAATTAAAAAAACAGGTGTTGCAGCGCATGCAACAAATGCTGTTGCAGTGCATGCGCTCCGCCGCAGACGCAGCATCAAGGGAGAACCTGCTGAAAAACCCTTAAAGATTCTCTCCCCACAAAACCCTAAACCCTAAACCCTAAACCCTAGACCCGACACCCTTTGCACGGGTCCCTGACTCTGAAGGTGGAGGAGTTTTGGGGGCAGACAGAAGCAATTGAGTGTTTAAATAGATCAATGGCTGCATTTAATTAAAGAGGCAGCAGCTGATATGCAGCGGGGGCCTCCCTTATAACCGCTCTTACAATACATCAGTAGGGGGGCCCCTATAACAGCTGCAAATAGAAATGCAGGGTTTGTAGAAACGTTATGGTGTCGTGATTAGCTGCAAAGAACCTTTTCGCCTTCCTTAATTCATCTCGTTAATGATAATTTAAAGAGGAAGGCAGCAAAAATAAGCCCCAGATGTCGATGCTGCTTCTCTCTGCTGCAGAGGGGCTTTAGGCGTCCCTGTTGCTTTGCTGCTGCTGCTGCTGCTGCTGCTGCAGGAAGCATCTGCGTACTGCATGCTCCTTTAAAACAGGTAAGGAACACATTATTTGTTTTTTTTTTCATTGTTTAAAATTAAATAACTCAACAATAAAACCCGAAGTATTCAAGTATACTTGTTGCGCCCAAGCAAAACGACACAACGCAGGGGATAAGATAGAACGGCTCCTCCTGCAACTACCCCTTCTTGCGAGAGCTTCTGAAAAGTTGGTGGAAGAAAGAAAAAGAAAACATTTAATAATCATTTAATAATATTAATGACAAATGTACAGCCGGTGTATACGTTTTTCTTTGTGCACACCACCTACAGTCCTCTATCGAGTTTATGCAAGAGTTTCTACTTTTTGTTTGGGACGTCTGAGAGTTGCAGTAAAGCCGAAAGGCATATATTTAGGGTGTTTAAGGAGCAGTTAAGAACATCTACTTTATCCCCCAGACTTTCTGGGCACAGGGGCTAGCGTGTAGGTGGGTCTTACAGAAGATCCCCAATGAGGTGCAGGGAGAGCGCTGGCAACTCATGCTGCTAGCCGTCTGCGCATGCAGGCAGAACCAACCTTCATTTTAATCTCTGAATTAATTAAAGCCGTAGGCAATTGTCTTGCTCCTGCTTACGCGGAGGGTTAATGTTCACCTAACAACTTCGTGCAAACCTTGCGGTGTCTTGCCCCCGTTCTCCCTCAGAGCATGCACCGTTATGTGCGTTGCTACCCCTAAATGGTGTTGCTTTTGCTCTCTTGAAATGATCTTAATCCTGCTTTTCCGAAGCCTCCTTTATCTCCGCATGCAAGTCGTCATGCTGCTCTCTCGCAGTGCGGGGCTTTCATGGCACTCTCCGTGTCGTTACCAGTGCAGCAGAACACTGTGTTGGCACACACACAAGAAAATTTGATCCTTTTGAACAGAATGGCTCTGTTAGTTTTAATGCACCACCACCCTGATTGTTTTTGGGTAGGTTCTGATTTCGCCTTCAGCGAAGTCAGAACCTACTATACCTACTTGCGCTTGGGGGAGGCAGCCAGTCGCCTTCACGCGCCATATTTAGCGCTGGGCGGCCTCGGACACTAAGGCATCATCTTTCGCACAGAAACTTCAGGCTAAAAGAAACAAAGCATCACAGTGTTATCCTTTGTTTTGCATGTAAGCAGGGCTCCTACATAGTGCCCAGTTTCGGTTCATCGTTTCAGTATGCTGCTGTTGCCGCTGCTAAGGAGAGCATTCTGTCGGACAGAATCCTCAGCAGCTGAGTCGGACGTTGTTTCTGCTGCTTCTGCTTCTGCAATTGCTACTGCTGCCGTTTCCTAACGTCTAGTTCAACGGCACTCTTCCTGCACCTCTCGCTGTGCTTGCTTCTTGCTAATGTGACAAATATGACAAAAAGAAAAAGAAAAACTGCGCGCTGCCCCAGCTGCTCGCGTAGTGTAGGGAAAAGGGGATGCACGGAAGGTCACCAAGCGTGGTGTCCAGCCTGAAAGCTTGAAAACATAAGTGAGCTGTCGACAAGATCTCTGAGCTAGCAATAGATAGGGGAGGCAAAGAAGATCACAGCGAATAATAAGTGACTCGGGAGAGCAGTTGGATAGGGGTATATAAGCCCCTACGTCAGCGTGACTGAGTATATCTCAATGAATAGTTGTATAGGGCACAACTTCCGCCACTGTGCTCCTGCCTCCGCTTGTCATGGCCTCCTCTAAGTTGAGGAATGCTCGACGATATTCCTGAAGAGGTGCGTTACCCAAGCGGTCCTCAGAACCCCACTATGGTGTTCGTTCTCCTAGCGAGTAAACGCAATATTCCCGATTTTTGTGCCTGCTGCGGGCTGCTCGCCGTGTATCCAAGATCTCCGTCTAATCTAGCTTTGCCCTCTCGCAATGGCGTTGCTGCATATTCGTGGGGAGAGTTCTGGGCTATCTTGGTGGTTCCTCGGAACGTTTTAGAAACCCAGCATTAATGGCTTGATCAACTCTCCACGTTGGACGTGCGTCGACGGCGTGCATCGGCCCGTTAACCCGAGGACAAGCAACCAAGTGCCCTACCAGGCTGACGGCGCAGTTTTTCCGCTGGTAGCCCTCCTGCGCACTTTGGAGAGTAAGCGAATCCACTAGAAGCAAATCGCCTGGGTTTTTTTTGTCAGCTGCGTATAGCCGTCTGTCATGTTCCGTCACCCGGCGTTATTGTTGCCTTTTTCATGTATTTCCCGTTTCGGCCAGGTGTGCTTGCATGGTGGTGGCTGCGGGCGCCCAGGATTGGTACGGTACTTTTATGTTGGGCCAGTTCATCACGATATAATTATCGGAGGCAGGGCAGCGATGCTCAAAGTCATGATTCTCTTTGCTCCCCTCACATCCACTCCGCAGCCTGTGCTGTGTAGCGGTAACAACTCCTAACCGTTAAGACGAGCTTCGAAAAGCCCCTCGATGGCGATCTGCAAGTGTGGCTATATCCACTTTCGGCCCCATCACTGTGCCGCACTTTGGGTCACGGCGTCTCCCTGATCGCCGTGTTTATATCTGTTGGGAGCTGCTCGAAGTATTGATTCTCTAGTCCCTTAGCTCTCTTTATATGTGCGCAACTTCAACTTTCGTAACCGGTTGTGGGCATAGCCCTGGGCACAGCCCAGAACCTCTAGAGACTGGGGAGGGGGTCGGCTGCATTTTTAGGTACTCGTACCTTAGGCCCTGCTTTTACAGCAGCTCACGGCGTTTCTCAGAAATGATTGGGGATTCTCGTTACACTTTGGCCTGCTGCTTAGGAAGAGGAGGTGGCCTGACTTTGCAGCGCGCCGTCCTGCAACTCGACGTTACAAGGCCCCTTAACATGTACACTAAACCAACCCATGTCTTTCCTGTCTGCACCAACATTGCAGTCAATTGTGCGCGCAGGTTGCTTACTAAGGCCAAGTATGTGTTAATCTACCAGCTTTAGACAGGTCATGCAATAGATATACCCCCCGAGCGGCTTCACAGAGCGCGTTAGAACTTCTACTAGAAATAAGTTCGGCTAGCCGCTCTCTCATAAATAGATTTTGCATAAAACACCAAAATTGAGGATTACTAGTTCCCAATCACTCATTCTCGGGCTCTAGGGCTTCATGAAGCGAGCACTCGAAGCGAGCGCTCACCACATGAAGCCCCGAACCAGCTTCTGCGCCTCCCACGCATTTGCCTAATAATTGGTTGAATAATATAGCGAACTTTCGCTTTTTTTAACTTTGCATTTCTTTTTGAGATTGCTGTACGGGTCCCGTCCCTATCGAGGATTGGCCGTAGGCTCCCTGGAGCGCGTACCAGTCGAGACCATTGTTAACCGCCGTGCCTACATGGGGAGAGCAGCAGTGGATCGAGGAGTTTACAGAGGAATTCAAGTTTATTTTTAAAGGGAGAGGGAATATCGGGCAGAAGACGGCATGCATCCGGTCTAGCAGAGTCCTTTGGCATGTTTCGCCTCTCGCTTCCTGGCGGAGACGTAACTGCAGAGCATGAGCTCATGGAGGTGGCTTTTGTGCAGCTGAGCTGACAGTTTAGATGTTGGGCGCATTGCCTTTGTCTAGTTGAAGACGAAGGCGCGCACAATCATCGGTAGACACTTCAAGATGCCGCGGCTCTTCGGAGGGGTTTCTATTCTTTCTGCCACCTTGCTCGTCGCCTTCATTGGCGTTGTGGTGCTTGTTGGTAAGGGCCAACAACGATGAACTTATCTGCACTGGTTTTGTCCTAATGAACTCGTTGGCCCTTCAAACGAATACGAGCATGGAGCAGCAGTGTTCCATTTTAGGAGCAGCGTTTCCATTGCTCTTCGCGACTATTGAGGATTTCTATGTAGGATATCTGTATTTATCTTTCATATATTGATACACTATTTACATTTGTTGTGAGTATCTGTCTGTGTATTGTAATGCAAACTGGTGTGGAAACTGAAAATGTTTGTTCAGGCTTACTCTGGCGGTTTCAGGAGAAACTCCTTTTTCTCAATGCGTGTAAGCCGGCGCAGTTGGGTAACTTAAATACACAAAAGATTACTAGGAACGCGCATACTGGACTGGCTGAGCTATCTGCTTTTTGTGTATTGCTTGCCTAATAGCGTCATTGCCTGAGCAGGCGGGCAGACGCCTACACGCTGTTGGCGTCTCTAGTGGTCTTCACTTGGGTAAGAGGGGTGCATTGTTTGTTGGTGCTGTGTTGTTCACTATGCCTGGATGCGTCTGTGCAGTTCCCGTGGGATACAAAACTCCAAATTTGAATCCTCGTGGCTACCGTAGTCCTGCAGAACGCGGTAAGATTCATACGCTGCTTTCTGTGGAGACAGGTTTTTGTGATTTTGTAGTTATTCGCCGTTGCTCGCTCTTCGGTTCGTTCAGGCATTCCCTTCAAGGATGTGTCATTCACTACTCGCGACGGCGTTAAGTTGAGCGCTTGGCTTCTGCTTGGCGAAAAGCCACTGGAGGCTCCTACTTTTATTCAGTTCCACGGAAATGCCGGAAGTAAGGAGTAGTGTTGTTTATGTATTTATTTCGACTGTCTTTGCCCCATGTGTAGGTCTCGATTGCTGTAGTATATATTGCTTGCATTGCGCTGTTAACAAAGGGCGTGTGGATACACAGACTTCGCCTCTGCTGAGTCTGGTGATCTGTTGAAGATTTGCGCAGATGGTGGATTTCCCCGTGGGTGGTGCTTGTTATTTAAAAGTAGCCATAACCAGTTGGTTTCACTGGAGGGTGTTTTACTACATAAAATACCCCTTTTATTCAAGACATCGTACTTACTTTGCTTTGCTTCGCGGAGGCACGGAGCTCATAAGTGAAGCCTATCCAGGAGATGTTTTAATACTTATGTGCCACGAGAGTTTTCCCTGCTGATGGATAACATCGTGCAGATTTAGGCACTAGTGTGCAGGTTCACAAAGAGGCTCGGGCGGGCAGGCCGTGCACAATTGCAAAAGCGAATTGCGAGGGAGGAGTATATAGGCGTGCATTAGATGCGGGCGTTGACTTCTCAACATTCATGCGTATGCATCATGTGCTTCAATGTCCCGCCGATCTGCAGACATTGGATTCCATCAGGGACATGCAGAAGTCCTCTGTGCGGAGATGGGCGCGAATGTTTTGCTCCTAGATTACAGAGGGTAAAGTACCACATTCTGTTTGCTTAAGCATCTCACATAGTGGCACCAACAGTTACATGTTCGGTAGACGCGTATCTGTGGAGGTCGGATTTGTACCGTTGTCTTTAATTGCTTTATTTCCTTTGCAGCTACGGAAACAGCGAAGGCACGCCCTCGGAAAGTGGAGTGTACGCAGACGCGGATGCTGCTCTGGATTTTCTGTTGAGCACTTCTCTTGTAAACAATAAAGACATTTTCTTGTTTGGTCATAGCTTGGGCGGAGCAGTAGCCATCGACCTTGCACGCCGCAGAGGGAAAGAGGTGCGGAAGCTCAATTTTCGTCTTATGTTCGCCGATGATGCGCCTCCTCGACGCAGAAATGCTGCTGATTTGATGTTGCAGAACCAGCGCAGTGTACTTTCATGGCGAATGCCAGTTGGCCTCAAGTTAGTGGAATTCTCCATATCTTTTCGGTTGTGCTCTGGCTGGTGTGCCGCAGCTGAAGGGACTAGTTGTGGAGAACACGTTTACTTCGTTGCGTGACGTAATCCACGATATAGTTCCTGCTTCCCGAAAATTTGATTGGCTGCTAAATGCCATTCAGGTCGGCTTCAACACCGTTTTCACTCCTCACCACATACAGTCGCGGTCAGATTTGCAGTAGCGCGTTAGGAGTTATGAACTCAATTAGCACAGGCTTTTTCATACGTACTGATGAACAGTACCGAACTCTGCGATGTTTTGCAGCGGATGAAACTATCGAGCGAAGATAAAGTCCGTCAAATGGGAATACCAGCGCTTTTTATTTCGGGTCGCAGCGACGAGCTCATACCTCCCCGCCACATGGATAAGCTCCACCATGTAAGTAACTCAGGTGTAGTCAGTCTCCGAATGATTTTGGGGACAAGTGGGTTCAACGGGAAATCTACCGTATCTGGCAGTGGAGCTCTGAAGTGCCTGCAGGACACTTCTATTCGGTTGACTACGACTGCAACTGGTTGGGGTGCTGTTTTCTCGCAGGCCTGTGGTTCGCCTGTGAAGTGGAAAGTGGATATTCCTGGAGGGGATCACAATTCCACATGGCTTTACGGGGGAACGGCATATACCGAGAATCTCCAAAAGTTTATCAAAACGGCAGTTTCGTTGTCGACGGGAGATTTGAACGGCGACGCCGTGGCCTCTTCCATCAAGGAAAAATTACCTGTTTCGTCAGGTCTGTTTGCGTGCTCTAGGCGTGTTTGTATATCTCTTACGGGCCAGGGACCAGCTCTACAGCATGTTTGGTGTCCTGCTGTTCATTATCCCCCTCGCCATTTGCGACACGCAAAGGCTGGCATGCGAATCGTTATTGACCGCATAGGTTGGATTTCACCCGTGGGGGCTTCATGAGTTGTCTGTGCTTTATGCAGGCGCACCAGAGGATTACCAGGCTGCAAAGGCGGATCTCTCCGGTTCAAGCGAAACTTTGAGTTCATACGAAACGTCAGAGGTGGTTCAGGAAATGAAACCAAAGGATCCTTGGTCTTTATTCGGCTTGAAGCCACAAACGATGGCGTTGGCTCTGTTACTTATTGTGCTGCTTGTACGTAAGGGCATCCACTCGACAGCTGGAGCGCGGCACATAGAAGGGAGAACCCACGCACATCCTTCGAGCAGGCTAGACGAACCCGGCTTGGAATTGGACGTCCCTGACGTCGACGAAGCGCGCCGGAAATCCACTCTCCTCAATGACGACTCCGCCCAAAGCACACCCGGGACCCCTGTTCCCGCACTGGTAGAACTGGTAGAACCAGATGTCAAACACTCAGAAGCTGCCCGTATCGACACTTCCACATCTTAAGCAAAAGGGCATCGTGCGCGCACACCGCGGACGCACTGCAGAGGAGGAAACGCGTCACCTGTTCACAAGCTGAATGGTGACCCTGGCCTCCCAGACACGCTCATGCATGTCGTGGGATGTCTCTAGAATGCGCAACGGCATGTATCCTGTTTCGTAAATGCATAGAAGTCCGGGTAACTCACGAATAATTCCCCAGGTTCTTGTCTTGCCTTTGCCAGCTTTCTAAGAAGGTTCCGGCTGCGTCGTGCTCACGACTCCTTGCGGAAGGTGTTCAGAGGCACCTCCAGACGCACTGGAGAACGTTGTTTTTTTTGTCAGAAATTCTCCCCCTGGGTTTTTCGTCCTCGACAAAGTAACATGCAACAGCTTTCGCCGCCTCAAGGTTGTTCGTCACGTGGAGTCACTTCTGGAGAAGTATATGGAAAATTCAGAGTCCAGGCCATCCTGTACCCCGTGCGCGCGACGCGTCCCTTCCGTGTATGGTACATTGGATTGACTTTCTCCGATCTCATCATTCGCGCAGGTCACGATGACAACCGTTTTTAGAATGGAAGTCGACGCTGTCTGGAAGCAGCTCGTAGAGAACCCGCGGTGTCGTGGGTTTTCTTCACAATGCTACGACGCAAAACTACTGCCTTGGTGGCTTGGCGTGTGGATGCAGTGTCATGACTGCCTTTCGAAGCATCTCTTGCCAAACCCACCATGGTATTACACAGTTGAGGCACGGAGGTGGTTGTGGTCGTACGCCAGTAACTCCGGGGAACCAGCGCTTCAGCTTCATCTGTTCGGCAGGTGAAGTATTCCTTTCCACTGCAAAACGAATAGTTGGTAATTCGACTGTAGCGCGAATCACGGGATAAAGGGGCGTCGCATGCAGCAGGCGCCGAGAGCCCTTTCGGACTCGGCCGGAGGGAACTTAAAGTCGGGACCTGCCAAAAAGAGAAGCCACCAGACCGTAGTCGCTCCATACAGCGGAGTGCAAGGTATCAGCAACTGTAGCCACAACATGAAAGCTTAGAGCCAGCGGTTAATGGCCAGCAGCAGCAGCAGTATTACCAGGGTTAAAGCGCAGTCTTGCACCCATGTAAAGGGAAATCGCAGGATGGTAGTCGCCTTCACTTATTCCAGAAAAGACTCGTGGCAGTCTGCACATAGTAGCATTGCGGATGTATTTTTCATTTTCTTCATCCAGCTGCTATCACCCTTCGCCACTGCTGGTAAAAGTAAATGTGTATCAATATGTCAGTGAAATCGAGCAAAGGCAAGTGAAATGCATGACGCAGCCGCAGCAAAATACAGATGCGTGCACAGTCGCGTGGAGACCTTCGGCTTGGGACAGGTGTCCAAACATCGAGGGGAATATGGCATGAAAACGCATTCATGCACTTCATATGCATTCCATATTAACGCTAACGCATGAGCACACTTATTCAACTTAACCACGAAAGGAATGCAACTACATCGAATGTTCATAAACAATACGTAGCTTGTGATGAAGTGGGCCACTGCAAGCATGCAGACTAGTCTTCGCTTGCTTCGAATCATTCGTGAAGATCAGAAGGCGCTAAAACATAAATAGAGCTTTCAAATATGGGTATCCAAACAGGAAGTAATGTCTCTGGGAGGTATTCTCATATGTACGCGGGTAGCGACCACGAATTTGCGTCATCTCAATATGCATATAGAACAGAGAGTCAGGAATACGACTGCATGGTCATGCGAAGCGTGTCTTCTGAAGCATTTGCAAGGGTACGGAAAAGTAGCTGCAACATGTTTCTATCGACATACTAATGAGTGCTGAACATTCATAAAAACGCATGCAAACACGGCGACGCCAACAGCGCCATCCACACGGTCAAGCGCTTGCAAGGACAAGAATGTGTCCACATCACTGTTTCTGCATGCAATGTGACCTGTTTCCGTTCAAGGAGAAATCAATCCAAGACTCCTCGGGTTTGCTGCGTCTCGGCTCCGGTGGCGTTTCTGGGCAGCAGAGGATGCCCGCTGCAGCGAAACAATGAAATGCACAGCACCATCCCGCTTCATGTCCGGCACCTATACAGCGCGCAGAGTTCGCGGCGCTAGCTCTGTGTCGTTGGTGCCTGTTACAGCCGCTTGCACTCCGAGTATTTTTCCGGCGCTATCCCATAGAGTAGAGCTGCTGGTGAGATAGTCAGTGGATTTCTAACTAACCTTGTAGAAATTCGTATAGCTTGCTGTCTTCGCGTGGGTCTGGAGGCCACAATGCAGGTTCTGGAATGCAAATGTAACAGCCAATAACGTCACCTTTCTCTGCACCACATAATGAATAGCGAATGCAGTGATGATGGGCTTCCAAGGGCCCTGATTTGACTTACGGCATGCAAGCTGGTGGCTGAATGCTAAGGACTATGAAGTCTGAAAAATAGAAGGAATTGGGCAGTCAACCCTGCGGACTTATTTGGACATCGTTTTGCAACTGCTGAGGTTGCTGTCTCCTGGCCTCATGCAGCATGCAAAGACCTCCGAAGTCCGAGATAGCGTAAGAAAAGGAGTTGGTGCCAATTGGAAGATCAAAACGCTGATAGCGGCAAGCCCAGCCAACTCTGCTCATTTTCACACGTACACGCATGCATACGTGGGAAGGGACGTAAAAGGGGACCTGAAGATGGTATTCATGCGGCCACAGTTCGTACGAAAGTTAAGTCACTACCAGAGGAAACAGTTGACTGCCATCCTTTCTTTAAAAGGAGGTCAGTCTCTCTACCAATGGCATTCGAAATAAACGTGAAAACTGCGATGCCCAGTGTCATGCAACACCTCAGACAAACTGAAATGACGCCTTTACATTTGCGCATCAGAGATATCTTCCAACAGAGTGAACGCCGCCCATAATCTAAAAGGCCGCTCGGCGCTTTCACCCGCTTGGCGGCCAACCTGGCGTACGTTCAGGAAGTCTACACCTGATGCCTGCCGACATAAACCCTAGAAGAATCTGCAATACCTAACACTCCTTAAAATTCCATTTCTAAAGTTTTCTAGAAACCTCTCCAGAGCTTGCCTGAAGTAAGGATGAATCTTCGGCTGAAGGTCAGGAGGATACCCCGAAAAGTGAAGGGTGCTCGTCTCTGGACTAAGGACCTCCACCTCGAAGTAGAAGCAGCCACTGCTGCATGCATGCGTCGCAAACACGCTTGCCCACCCCTATAGGCACGACACAAGAACGCACAAAATGGCCACAGACCCTTTTGTGGAGACAATAAAATGCTCACTGTAAGCTCGCATAAATGAGGAACTGCTGCTTCTTTGTTGTGGCTGTCCGCTAGCTTGTGCGTGCAAAAACCAAAACGTAAAAGCTGGGATGGTGGGGAAGGAGTACAAAGTCGAATGTAGTTCACTTTTGCAGGCACAGAATCAAGCAGCACCTGCCGGTGTTCGTTGAACCAAGAGCTACTTACACGAACGCTGCTTCCAGCAGCTAGAAACAGCAGCATCACCTTCACAAGGCAACAACTGTAACAGCAGCAAACTACGCCAGCAGCCACGACAACATATGATCCTACTGCAGGATATGCACCATTAAAAAGCACGGCAGCAAGAAGATTAGTTGCTACCTTGAGCCCTTGGCAGATGAGACGGTCTTCTGAGAGCTTGATTTGCCTGTCCCGGTAACGTTCGGATAATACAACGTTGGGGAAATCATCTGAAATCAACAACAACAATTCTCGGCAGCAAATTTCAGAGTTACACTGAGAGTGTGGCTATACTCCCATACGGGATATTGCACCTGTGCTTACGCGGAACGGGAAAATGGCAAGACTCCCTCTCTTCTCCCTCTGTCTCCCCTCTCATTTATCTCTCAGTTCTATCTCTCTCACTCTCTCCTCTCCTCTAGTCGCTGTCTCTCTATCCGTCTACTATCTCTGTATATGTATGTGTCTTCACTGTCGACCTCGTCTGGAATATTAATTATGCGTGAACAGTGCGTTGAAAGACAAACGAGCAGTGAGGAAGAAGAGGGCACGGGGCATACGGTTTGCGATCACGAGGAAGGTCATTCATTTTGTTGTTCGGCAATTACCTCTAGCTAAAGAAAGAGGGGGCAGCTTTGTCTTCCGGAAAGACTCCTCTACCTGAGATCTTTCCTTTGCCCCGTGAGGCACAATGTCATGGGTACCATGCCGTCCATGCTGGTCGTGAGGATGGAGCTCTGCTGCCATCCTTGTTGTTTAGTTCAGATACACCTGTTGCTGCAGTGTCCGGTGCTGCGGCGCGCGCCTCGTGCTGCTGCGGCGCCCCCTCCAAGTCAGGCTACTGCTGCTGCTGCTTCTACTGAGCTTCTTGTCTGCACCTCCTGTGACTGCTGCTGCTGCCTTCCCAAATTTCCTTCTAATTGTTGGCTGAATGCGTGGAGAGTCGAGCCCGTACGACACTCCTGTCGCTCACTCCCGATGACCCTCCACCGTTCGCGCCTTTCTACTGCCGCTGCCGCATCCTACTGATACTTGCGAGCTTGCGTTTCCGAGCTCTTGGGCGCAGCTACTGTTGGTGAATCGGCGCTTCTCCTCGGTGTTGTTGTTTTGTTGTTGTTGCTGCTGCTGCCATAGGGTTCGGGGAGAGTCACCAAGTTCGCTGAGGAAACGAGTTCTTGCTTCACTGCACAAGCTCCACACAGATGCTTCGGGTCTCTCCTGCGCTTGTGCAAGCAGTCACACTGTGCTAGAAATGGCTCACTCGAGCGGACTTGGAATCGAATTGTAAAGAGAATCGGCTGTTATCCCCAAATTTAAGACTCCTCTGTCTCATAAAAACAGCATTACTACCCGCCAGCAGGAAAACGTGTAAAGCGTAAGGGGCCCTAAAGTTTCTGTATCCAGGGCCCCCCTCTTCAGTCCTCCCGAGAAGCTCCTTCATTGGCTCAAGTGGGGCTTCTCCGCTACCTTTCTCATATAATAATTTGCAGAACTTAAATTAATTGTCTCTTTCTGACTTTGTGGAGCTTCTACCCTAACACTGCTTCCAGTTGTTGCCTCTAGATTGTAGGACCTTTGGTCTGTGGCTCCAGATGATGCCTACTCTGTAAGTTCATGAAATCGCATAACAAAACTCTGACAGAAAATGGAGGATTGGCGGGGTTATCCTACAGAGAGTCGTCCTGATTCTTCCCCTTCTTCTTTGCTCGATGGGGGGGCCTCGGATGTTGTTTCATATACCCAGCGGTCCCAGGCTGCCGACAACATGTTCTTAACACAGCAGCAGCAGCAGCAGCAACAGCACCAACAGGGCCTCCAGCAACAGTTCATGCAACACCAATATGTCCCACAGCAATTGTATAGCACACAGCAGCAGCCAGGCTACCCGTCGCAACCTGGTGAGTCAATGCAGCTTCTATCGCCGAATTCGCTGGTAGCAGAGACCCCAAAGCATCACTTCGAACCCTCTGTAACATCTTCCAGCGTTTAATACTTCAGCGTGACGGGGATGCGCAGGTTCAGGGCTATCAGAGCAGCAACAGGCCTTGGAAATGGCAGACTACATGGAAAGGGAGCAGCAGCGGGAACGCGAGATCGCTCGCAAGTGCGTTCATAGCCTCTTACTGCTATTTACAATAGCGGGGGCCTTAGGTTGTTTTAAGGTGTCCGGACAGCTCAAGGTGTTTGAGTAGATTGTTTCACATGCATTGTGCAGGCAAAAGCAGGGCTATGGACTCTTGTCACTTGCTACGTTAATGCAGGTTCTGCAGGATATCCAGAAATTTGTGTAATCGTAGCTTTAGGGGGAAGGATATGACACTATGATAGCTATTTCGCATACATCAGGCGTACAAATATGCCCAAAAGGATGTACATTGTACATATTGCACCCGTGCAGCGTTTTAGACAATGCGCGTGCGTGCTCTTGTATCGGTTTAGTGGATGAATGCCAGCAGCATTAGTGATGTTTTTTTAACGGCCGCTCGTCAAGTGTTTATATTCTCACCTGCCGAGGTACGCGACTGAACGCGTTTGCTGCGGGGTATTTGTTTTGCAGACAGCAGACGGCTCTGCGGCGAGGCCTTCTTTCTGTGTCAGAGTTGGAGGATTGGATGGGCGAAGATTGTCCCCAGCTGGACCGCCAGACTTTAATACGATTCCCACCGGACGTCGCGGAGACGCTGAGACAGCGTCTGCACAATGCTGCCGCTGCGGCGGCTGCAGCAGCAGCAGAAGGAATCGATCCACCAGATCCCGGAGGAGCGGCACTCGGACTCACCATAATCCCAAGGCCAGATTACAACTACAGGGCATTTGATGTGAAGGTTGGCTTGTTTCATTTGCTTCAGGATCTACTCAACTAACTAGCCGTTTGAGCAAGCTAGCGGTTTCTGGCGCATCACTGGGTCTAATGAACTTGTGAATGGGGGTCCACAGGTTTCCGGGTATCGTGGGCGACTCCGCGGCATCCTGGTTGAATTGCCGACTTTGATTGAGACGTACAAGACGGTGGACTCGGATATCCTCTTTAAATCAGGTGTGTTGTGGTGCTTAAGTTTTCATCCTCCTGAATATCGAGCGGTGGTTATCTCTCTGCCTGTGTTCGTGCTGGCCAGTTTTTCAGTAGGCATTTAGATATACAGGGAGGTCGCGCCTGCGGCATTGCTTGGGTCAAGACTTATGCTTTTGTGGAGTTATATGCCTTCATGGAGCCGCATGGTTAGCTCTGCGCTTGCTGATCCAGCTGCGCTGCTCTTCTTTACGAACGAATTCTGTTCCTCCTCGCTTGAGTTTGTTCACGAATGCAAGCTTCGTGATGCTTCGTTGCGCCAAGTAACCAAGCGTGTAGCTGTTGGATACACTGCACACTTGGCGGCATGTCTGCCTTCTTTGCTTAGGCGATGTTTGCCAGATGCTGTACGTTTTTGACCCGCAAGTGAATAACCTGGATCTAGGAAGCCTGTGCGACAAGCAGCAGTGGGAATGGCGGGCTGGACTAACGCCCCCCACTCACCGCATCCGCAGCCGGAAGTTTAAAAACATAGATCTCTTTGATCGCGAAGAAATAAGAGATGCGGAGCTCGAAGTCCTTCAGGCGAGTATCCATCCACCACGACAGAAACGTCAAGTGTCTCGTCTCCTTGTCTCTGGTTGAGATCTGCGTGCGAAGAGTTGCGGACAAACCTTTCCATGGCTCGTCCGCCCGTGCGCTGGGAGGGGGCGAAGGTTCTTCTGCAGAAGTGTACTTGTATTGCTCATATCGCTGCATACTCCCCTCACGATTGATACTCTTCTATCATGCAGCTAGAGTGTTTATATGATCACTTGCTCAGTTACTCCACGGTCTTCGCCGCGATACATATGAGATCGAAGTTCACACGGAACTCGATATGTTGGAAGCTCGCAAAAAAGAACAAGAACAGCAAGAGCAGCAGCAGCAAAGCAGCACAGCCAGTCCTGATGCTCCACGAGTGGAGCGCGTGGTGCTGACCACGGAGGATGTAACCGAGCTGCTTAACCTGGTTGAACAGGACGACGAGTATCTCTCTGACGCTTCCGATATCTTGTTTTCGATTCACTCTGACAATGTCTCCTTGCCCGGAGCAGGTGTGACACCACTTTCTCAGTCACGTTGTTCTCTTTATTTTGCCGTGATTCCTTGTTGTAGGGGAGCTGTGGCTGGCATTATTCTTGTCGGGTGTGTTTGTTTGTTCGATGGGCTGACGCAGACCCGAACTCACGGTCAAGACGGGGGAGGGGTGGGGCACCTGGGGGCCCTTCAAGGTTCTCTTCAGTTGGAAATGGAGGCCAACAAGAAGCCGATTCTCCTCAGGCAGGCATTCTGACTCCCAATTCTCAGCTGCAGATGCAGATGAGTCAACAGCAGCAGTTGCCGCAGCAGTTGGTGGTGCAGCACCAGGGCCAGCAGCTGTTGCACGGCATGCCGGAAGGCGCTGAAATTGATGACGCAGAGGAGCGCGAGCGCTTGCGGCTTCGTAAGGAAAGAAGGAAGCAGAAGAAAGACAGGAAGAGAGCGAGGAGGGAGCAGAAACTACAGCAGCAGCAGCAACAGCAGATGGCCATGGGACAAGGAATACCTGGCGGCCAGATGGAGCCCCATGGTGTCTTGCAGTCGGCCATGCCTTTGCAAACAGGCCCTGCGGTGGCCGCCTTAGGGGAAGCGTCTGCAATTGGAGGCAATGACGACGGCAACTTTGATGGCATGAGTTCGGTAGGAAGCGCAGATGGTCAATGAAGTATCTCAAGTCAAACGTGCACTAAATGCCGAATTTTTTGGTACTCGTGCCGAGGTGGACGGCATGAGATACACGGAGGCGGCAAGCTGCCAACGCAGACATGACTCTGGAAAACTCTAGAGAAGTCAAATAGGCTACATGTATAGGGACAGTTCGTCTGCTCCGACTCCATCCTACAGACGGGCTCTGGAAGTGACTTTACAGTGGGCCATATATGGAGAGCTGTGCACATGCAGACTTTCCGACAGTCATTGATGAGCAGCGAACGTTTTACGTGTATAAAATACACGTGGCGAAAATAGTTCAGCAGAGAAAACGAATTCCCGGGATTTTTTTCAAAGGGGGGCAGCACGCACCTCTCCCCAGAAGGCGTATGGCCTCCTGCATAAACATTTATTTGTTTGGCAATCTCTAAGTAACTGCAGTAAACAGACATTTTCCCCTAGAGGCTCATAGAGTCCTGTTCTCTTTACAAAATTCCTCATGCCTCACTGCTCCGAGGGGATTCTATGTAGCGCAGAAGCACAAAAAATACAGCTAGTATCGCAGGTCCAGCTTTCTGAGCTGTTGGGATATGAAAGTATAAATATATTTGTATGTATGGCAATGTGTGCATGCTGACGTTTTTGCAGTCCAGTACTGACAGTCTGCTGGTTACATACCGGGTGCTGATGCTTCGCCTTGCTGTCCTGTCTGCAGCATCAGGGCCGCCCACTGGGCCGGGTCGAACCGCTTTGGCAGTTGCTGCACGGCTTGTCCTGCAGCAGAAAAAATGTTTAAATCGAATTGAATCATCGGTGTTTGCAGGCGTCCAATACTGGGAATTAGCATCGGATCACTTTAACCGTTTGTCACTATTAACCGCTCAGCACCTGCTTATTTGAGGGAACCCTTGAAGCAACAGTGAAATAAGCATGAGGAATTTGTTTCGTGTGGAGTTGTCGTTTGCGTTTCTGCACGGCGAGTTCGCCAAACGCTGACCTGGAGGTGTGAGCACGCAAAGTTCCTGCGCTAGTTTCTGCTTCGTCGTAGATGCAGAACGCAGCGCATTCACGAGCGAAAGGCCATTTGAAGGGAAAACAAGATTCCATTGGGACAGCATCCGATCAAATGGAACTCCAGGCATTGTTATTTGCCGCATATACTCCGCGTAACGGAGAGCAGCACACAAGGCCGCTACGGATGCATCCGACTTGAGTTTTTTGTGCGCGGCGTTGGCCCAAGCCTTCAGCCCTCCTTCCTGAGGCAACCAGTTTCTTAAGCCACCAGCCATACTAGTGGGGGGCAGCCGTCTTCCCCCAGCACGTGAGGCTGAGCCGAAAATCGCTGCAAGCTCTGCTGCTGCAGAGACAAACACGTATCAGGGGAATACGAAAATTTAGGAAAGCATCTAGGCGCCAAGCGTTCCACAAAGGAAGACCTGAGAGTCTCTGCAAGCTCTAGATCATAGTGCGATCAGCTAGCTGCAGTTTAGTCTCAGTATGAAATTTTTCTATGGCAATATGCCAGTCTGCTCATGCTTACTGATTTGGGAGCACAACTTGTGAAATCCTGCGTACATCGCAGACGTACGTAGTTCATCCAGCATGAAATATATGTGTGCTAGAGTTAGAACACCGAACTGGGTTTGTATTGTTTCTGTGTGCTACGCCTCTTCAGCCTGTAAGCATGAAGCAAGGAAGGGGAGGCGGAGGGGCATGTTTTGACGTACGTATTCGTCTTGCGGCTGTCCTGGACATTGTACCAAGTGCCAACAGAAGTGGGGAGCTGACGTCTGGATTCTTGCGAAGGAGGAGGCATTTGACGTCCTGTAAGGACCTTCCTAGAACTTCTGCTGAGGCGCAAACCTCTATGGCTTTTGCTTCCTTTTCGGCCGCTTGCAGCAGCGGTTGAGCTCCTCCAAGGAGCCGATGGGATATCGCTGATACTTGCAAGTTCAGCTGGACGCTCGACGTTACAGGCGAATTCGCTGCACACGTCCCGACATATGCAGCACAGAACTGGCAAGGTTACAAAATTAGTCTCTGTGTGGCGTTCAATCTGCAGAATCTATAGATGCGAGATCGCCAAGATTTATCATGTTGACTCACGTGTAAAGGAGGCCAATGGTGTGCCACCTTCAATTTCTTGAGCTGGAAAGGGGACGTAACATCACACAGAAGAGCGCAATTGTCACAACATGTATAATTCGTTCCGTGCATGCTAAACGGTTGCAATTCCTTGTACACATTATAGTCCAAAATAGTACAGCATGCAACGGACTAGGAATTAGGGCGAAACATTGCCATTCGTTGCTTGACGTTTATGCCATTTTCGCCCCAGATAAAGTGTTACGTGGCCTGTGCCATCTGCTGGGCAAGCCACGCACCCCAGTGAGTTCTTTCATACACCATTCCGCATGCCTCCTTGCTCTTCTCGATAGAGGCTTTGAGTTGTTCCTTCTCCGGCCCCGTTGCCAACTGTAAGGAAGGAATGTGCTTAGCTGCAGGCGTAGACCGCAAGAAATACTACGGGACGCAGTTTTGCACTGGCTAGGAGCCCAAACAATAAATTACAGTGCAGGCCCCCACCCCAAGAAGGATAGTGAACCAGAATTATGCCTCACCGCACATCACACATAAAACTAGGCGAAACTTCTGCAGTGAAGTGTCGCCTTCTTCGATTCGAAGTTCTGACCGAGTGGACTGAAACAAAGGTACTTTCATTGCAGCTTCAAGGAGAGACTGAACATCTTTGATTGCAGAGCCTTCGACATACTTCTCGTAGAGGCGCACAACTTGCATACAAGCTGAAGGAGCAAACCATTCCCAAAACTTATTCGGTGTCTCAATGCTATGCATCCATCCCAAAAACGCATTCAATATCTGTGTCACTCCCATTTATTGCATAATGGGGGGTACGGCGAGTGGTGACTTTCTGCAGCGAATTCCCCCCCAGTAGGTGGAAAGGAACTTTTGAATTCATGGCTTCTTACCGTCTTCCTTCTTTTCCATTGTTGGCGATACTTCTGGCTTGGGAGGGATAATGGAAATCATTTCTTCGGGTTCTGCAGCATCCTTGTTCTCAGTTTTGACTACGTCGATTTTCTTGTGGACTTTCTTGATGGATATACGCTCTGGACGTATTGGTATGGGCCTCTCTTCCGTTATCTCAGACGGTTCAGGCCGTTGTTCAGGTGGAAGCACAGTTGTCGTTTTCGTTGCCGCTGGTGGTGGTGGTGGTGGTGGTGGAGAGGGTCCTTCCTCAGGTTCCTTCTCAGGCTCGCCTTTCTTTGAAGGTGTCGGAACGGGTGGGAAAGTGGGGGGTGGGACAGGCAAAATAATGGGAACCACCCTCCTGTTGGGCTTTTTGCAAGGAAGTGTAGGAAATGTTGGCAGTATCCAGCCGAACACCCCTGCTGCCAATGTTTCCTCAGCAGTTGGAGGAAAAGTGTATGGCTTGACAGCGACTTCTGCTGCACGCATGGCATACCGAATCAGGTGGAGGAAAATGAACTGTCGAAGCATGTACAGAAGAAACTATGGGGAGAGAATGCAGCCCGGCTAAGCAAATGCTCTTTCAGCTGCTGCATGTGCGAGTACGAAAGGATGGAGTCTGTAGTGGCCCACCGCCTATAGTAACAGCAACTCCAGTGTCCCCTTCAGGCCGGAGCGAGCACGTGCGATCACAGGTCTGCAGACATTGCTCAGTCCAGGCTTCTGTGGAAACAGCTGCTTTAAAAAGGTGGTCGACGTTTTCAGGGCCTGATAGCTGAACAGCTGAGATGTCTCCAAGAACTTCGTGCATGTAGACTAGAACCTGCATCGCTCTCATCCCAGACTGGGAGAGTGAAGCAGCAGCAGCAGCTGAGAAATACGCTGGATAACGTATTATTACTTCTGGAGATGCCGTTCCTGTCGATGTGTACGTTATCATTAGCTGGTTGAGAATGGGCCTGGCTTTTGCAGCTGCAGGAGCAGTTCACAGGATGCAGTCAGGAGTCATTCCGCAGGTGCCCATTCGAAAAGGCTGTGCGCGATTAACGTGCAGCATTGAACACAAGTGATTAATTCTAGCGTTTCCATCGCCCTTGAACTCACCAAGCGGTGCAGTCACTTGCCGAGTGACAATTTCTTCCTGGGCACGCCGCTCTTTGATGAAATCGTCGAAAGCTTCCAAAGTGTAGAAAACGCTGCCAAGTGAACCAATTAGCTCCGAAATGATCTTTGTGTCTTCGGCCTTGCACTGCGAATAAGATGGGTCCCCTTTAACTGCCACGTTGAAAGCTTTACTCACTCGTACTTGAGTCTGCGGATGGCCGCCAGCGTATTGAAGCGCTACCGCTGTGGGCGTCTGCAGATTCTGAGGCAACGGCTCCCGGAGTTTTACCAGCCAGTTAATAAAACTCTGCAGCGTTGGTCTTTTTGCAGTACTGGCAAACATGTCATACAAAATCTGAATCATCTCCAGCTTGATGGAGTAACGTCCAAAGGAATCATATCCACGGTGATCTTTGCCGCACCCAACTGCAACAGCCAAATTCGTAGCTTATCCAACAATTTGCTTAGTCACTAGTTCGAGAAAACTGCTAACAAGCAATACGTCCCCCCACTTAGGGATTAAGAGAGCATGCATTGGCCCACACTATGCATTGGCCCTAGTCCTACTAGCTCAGTGAGCTCCCACCAAAGCTGGAAAACATTTTCCTGCTCACTCGCATCAAGGTGGGAAACCATGAGATAAACCTGACGCTGCCACGCTTGCGAGTCTTCCTCCTGGAGCTCCACGAGCTCTGCGCAGGCTGCGGGGGCTTGGCCCTGCGCGAGCCAATCTGGCAAAAATTGGCCCCATAGCTCTTTACTTACTACCCTTTGAAACTGCTCAGCAGGATCGGCACATTTCCCCAGTGGCTGTGGGCCTCCCTGTGAGCCTGTGCACTGAGTTTGCAATCTCGTGTCGGCAAGCAGCGGTCCCGTGCATTGTTGCAGACATCCTGAAAAAACCATAAACAGGGTTCAAACAAAATCGCGAAATTCAGTGTTGCACGACTGGAAATCGTTGCCTTCCCGAGTACGCGCAAACGCGCCGCAGTAATTTATCGTGGATGTACATAAGAAATATGTCTTCTTTTATGGCTAGTACTGAGATGTGCAACGTACCGTAGGCAGCATCAATGAGATATGAGGCATGTATCTCCTTGCGAAAGTCCGAAAATTCTCTTTGGAGCCATCTCCTCACCCTCATTCCCGCTACTTGGCTGGCTTTCTGAAAGGAGTTGCTTCCAACTATGAGCTTTGCAAACATTCCTGCAGCGCAGTGCAAATTGCAGAAGAGCTCCAGCTTCTGATGAGCGCCTTGCTAGAGCAAGCTGGATAGCACCGAGCTTCCCTGTAGCCTCCCGTGTATACCTCTTGGCTCTTGGCTCTCCTCACTTACTCTGTAATTCCTTATGTACTGCGCTTGCCAAGGTGATCGTTTCACCCGAGTATTTGTTTGGGCCGAACCCGGGCTCTTCGCTTTCCTGTCCTCGAGGTCCTACCTTTCCTGCTATGTATTCAGTGGTGTAAGCTTGCAACCCTTCGGTTGTGCTGAATCTTTTTTGGATCTCCTCTGATGGATTGTCTAGTAGTGATTGGATTAAAATAAAAAGTTGGCGTGCTTGAGTTCTTACGAAGGCTGAGTCAGACGAAACAAGCACCTGTCTAGCATTATACCGCCCGACGATACGGCATGAATGCATCGACCAGTTGGCAGCGCACAGTTGACAATAACGGTCTTCTGATGAAGGTTTTCAAAAAGCTTACTTGATTCAACTGCCCTGGGAGAAAGGCCTGTTTTTTTCGCGGTACCTAAGTACACTTCCCGCAAAGTTTCGTTCCCAGTGATTTCCTCTAAATGTCCCTCAAGTCTTTGCATGATTACAAATGATTTGAAGGTGCTGCTGTCTCCGGCAGGAGGAGCGCGGGAGCCTGGAAAAAAGGTAGCATCAAATAAAGCTACGAGAAATCTCCAAGATCCAATGCCCTGTAACTATGTCGAGGAACGGCGTGGCTGCTGCTTCACATGCAGTGCTAGGGAACTTACATGTCGCTTCCGTTGTAGACACTATCCGTTCACGAATCGCCGGGCCATACAGGGAGAACTCTCCGTCTTCAAGGAAGGACAGTCCAACGGGGAGTAGGTTATCCTCCATTTGAGTCTGAAACTGTTGCAAGGCATCGACCAACTGAATGGAAGTAGTGCCGCTTGAAACACTAAGGTCGAGGGCCCCATGAGCGACACGCGCAGCTGTTTGAAGTGTTTCTGAAAGCTTTGAAGCAGATGAAGTGAAGTCCTGCAGAGCATCTGGAAATTGTGGCCCTTCCGGCAATATATCAGGCTTCTCTACAAAATAAGCTAAGGAGTGCACGTGCTGCTTCAGCAGTAGTCTGAGGGCAGGCCAGGCGACATTCTCAAGACTCTTGGATATGCAGCTAAGATATGAATTGCTTGGGTGGCCGCATCTTCTCTCTTTCCCACACGCTGTGCTTATCATCCTTGACGCCCCGCGTACGAGCGCTAAGCCGACTGAAACGTAAACACACCGAACCACGTGCAGCACAGCAGCTCTTCTCGTTACTTGCAGGGCATTGAAGCCAAATGGGGGTCTTGTTCGGGATTTATTCAATGTGGCACTGTGGAAGCTTTGCAGTCAGTGGCATGCCCTATCATGCAGAATGAACTCCGGTGAGGAACTTTTCCCCACTGTAGTATGTCATGTGAGCACCGTACAAGTAGCTCCAGATTGGCGCAGCGTTTCGTATTCGGATGAGAGGGATTCTGGTGATGGAACACCGTTTAACAAGAAGAGCAGCGGGGCATTCTCCAAAACAGTCGAGGCGAATAACAGTGGACCTGAGGCATATAAGAGATTCCATAAGGCATATCAGCATTTTGAATTCTGTACTAAGCAGAACCACGCCTACAAATGCAGTCAAATGCGAATGCTGTTGAACTACGCAACGACGATATATTACAGTCCATGTACGCGTGGGCCAGATAAGGTGCAGAAACGCACTGGCACTTATTGCTTTGAGTCCTCCCAGAGCTTGCAAGTGGCTCTCTAGTGATTTCATCACGTCTTCCGGGCACCCTGCAACAGAATTAGCCACGGCTTGCTGCAGAGGAGAAAGAGGGACGCTCCGTTGACGTGCGCCCTGCGTTTCGACTTCGGAAGAGCCGAGTCTGCTACCTTGGACTGAGTGCAAGACTAAAAGAGAGGCTGAACAGAACGTAAAACATCCAGCAGAAATGCAGATATACTGTGCCAAGCAACCAATAATTCTTGCAAGGAGTGAAGTCCATGGGAAGACTGACGGACTTGCAAAGACTTGAGCTGCGAGACTGCCTTGCTTCTTCATTGAGTTGTTGGGAAAAAAGATATCCAGCGGCGACGAAGTCTTGGCTTTGCTAACCAATTCAGTGCACTTCTCCACGGTGCCCTGGAAGCCTGGTTCATTAATTCCAAGACAAGCTTCTCTAGCCGTGCATGCAACAATTTCCATCACATCCCAGATAGATTTTCTCATCGGTCCCTCTCCCGTTCGTTCTGAAGAATTCGCGGCTTCCCCAGGATCGTAAAACAACCCTGAAAAATGTGCGTGGCAATATGAAAAGGTTTGACTTCAATGAACTGTCCAAAAACGTCACTTAACTGACGTGGGCAGATTAATATATATATATATATATATATATATACATTATATAGATTGCCCGCGTTAAAGCAGTGGTGTAATGATCGCTTGCACGTAGATGAAACACAAAGCGAGTGCTTGTTGCAACGACTCGATACGGAGAAAGCCTACGACTCGCTTACGCTGTGCAAGGCGAAAGGCTGAAGACAGACTGTGAAACCTGCCGAAGCGTGTCCACTGTAGCCTTTGGAAGCCTTTTTGTAATTCCAATTGAGAGCGGACCCCTTCAACGAAAAGAGCTTGAGTTTCCTGGTCGCTTGGTGATATTCGTACTTCTCCGGATGCAAGCTCTCGGACTTGTTCTACTCCCAAGCCAACGCCTCTCGATGTGGCCGCATTTGCGGCGGCATCATGCCCAATATGCCGAAACGCAGCAGCTAGACGCAGTCCACGACAGCACAATTTTGTTTGGTTTACATGGGTACTCGGTTTTAATCATAGAAAAAAGAAAAGATACAAGGGCAACGGATAGTGGTTACAATCTTCCTCCCATTGCGCTTGGAATGGTCGTACTACGTTTGTGGATCTCCACACTGACCTAAAATTGTGGCTTCAAGTTTTTGTGTTTCGTTTTGGTCTTCAACCGAAGTGGGAATTCCAAGGGCTGCCAATATGCAGGACAAGGTACTGCCGCCCGGACAGACGGCTTTGCTTGTTGCACCGAACATACCGTTGACGCCTCGAATCTCCCCACCATCCACAGAAAAGCATGCTGTAGAACATCATTCCGCACGCAGTGCAGATGAGTAAGCAAGGGGTTAAGCACACTGGTGCCCTGAGTTTGCTCAGCTCGTGCTGCATTGACTAGCCGAACGACGGAGCCTCTACTAGCTTAAATCGGCTAACTTGTCAAGTTCCATATCAGCATGCTACGCAAACTCGCAGGTACTGTTTCTCCAGAGGTGCGCAGTCTGGAGAGGACCGCGTCCACTAGCTCCGCTGCATTGCGCTCGGAGAGCTCCGCCACCTCTCCTTGGCGCACAAGCTGTGGCCAGAGGAGCGTTAAGACCTCGTTCATCCTTGAAATCACTGAGAGACAACGCTCAAAGTGAAAACACACAAGCGTCCGGGGCATATGAGGGAAGCCCTACGGGGTTCCTTGAGGGTCCTGGTTAGAACCTCGTGACAACCAGATCTGTTCAAAAATTCGACTTGTCTTACGCGGTGCTCTCAAGCTCCCACTGATTTCGCCTCTGCCTTCAATCTCGCCTGAAACTGGTGCTGAAAGCGAAGAACGGAGGGGGGCAACGAAGACGAACAAAAGAAGGACAAGCCGAATTGTCGCTAGCAGACCATGCCGACGGACGTGGTTACCGGCCCGTTGGGGACCCCCAGAATGCGTTGGCCTATTCATTTTCGCGACGATATTCGACAACAAAGTTATCCGATCTAAATGTGAAAATATCCTTTTTCGGGTTCCTGCCTTGTGAGTGATGGCTACATCGAGCAGTGCGTGGGGCCCGGACCTCGACCAAACTGCTGCCTCATTGTCGGCTGTCTCCGCAGCCGCGCGTTTTTGCTTTGCTTCGCCGGATGTCCAAATGAATATCATGTACCTCCGTTTAAAAACATCGTGTAGATCCTTTTACATTATTGTGATTTGTACTTGCTCTCGTTTCCTGGCGGATTATTCGATATTGAGCTGCGCGCCTTTCCAGGTGACCTAGCAGCCAACCCAGCGGCCACCCGCGGTCTTTTCCTTCGGTTAGCTACATAGGACAACCACAGAAACAATCTAGGAAAGGAATTCCCCCCAAATTATTCTGGTGACAGGCGTCTTACTTCATTGCGCACGAAAAAAGTAGAATTCGCGCCTTAGGTTCCTTCGTGGTGGTCCCATAGCCACTTGCCCCTCTGGCGCCTGCTCAATCTAAATTCGTGATAACGAGCATTTTCACCAAACAAATATAACACTCACACATTCCCATGTCATCAGTGGAGCTATTAGCTATATAATTTGCGGAGCATAGGTTTATGGTACAAGCCCTCACAGCACCAGTGCGTACAACCGTGCGGGGGGATGTCCATACTGGCAGGAAAAACAGTAGATCTGTTTGACGATAGACGCCTCTTCTGCTCCAGTCCAGTATGAATAATTGAGTGGAAGTGCCTTCCTCAGTTTTCTATGTCATCCACCAACTTCCCAAGCTTCTGGCGCATGTTGCAGCAAACTACGGGGCAAAGCTCTTATTCATCCCTGGTGATTATGGTCACGCTAAGTGGGCGCAGTTGTATGTTATTAATTTTTACAGCTAGGCATTGGATTTTCTGCGCCTGCATTGTAGCTTTTGGTTTCGATGCTGTGCTGCACTGACTTGCCCGTAGACCGACTATCTTCCATTACTAGCTTCTCAACAACAAAATGGACGTCTCCTACAACTCAACTGAGCACGACTTGGCTAGTGATTACATTCTCGAACGGAAGCCTAGCGCCGTCCAATCTAGTCGTGAGCAGTGTTCGCATCTCAAGATATCCATGTTGGGGCCTAGCCCCAAGGCCACGATGTCTTTGTTTTGCACGCTTCTACGAGGAAAAGTGCCTCCCATCTCTGCCTTACCAGACCCGATCGGTGTAGACTGGGGACTTCGCCGCCTTCAAAACAAGTAAGCACGATTTTATGCACCCATATCTGCGGAACGCATGTGTCAAGAGGCTCACCTGTGCGCACTTAAGCGAGCCATGGCCACCCTGGACTCCACGGTTTCACAACATGCTGCCCGTGCGTTCCAGTGGTTCAGAGACGCGTATGACACTGTGGGCACTCAGCGCTGCTGAGGCCTTTTCGGAACTTCGAGCCGATCTGTGCTCACAAAGTCACGCCATACTCCTTATCCTCGATGCAGACAGTGCTCGCTTATCTGAGCAAATGCAGCAGCTGCAGAGGCTGATGCAGTCAGCTCAGGTCCACGCTCAGCCCAGCCACAATCCCGCCTTGTTCCTCGTTGCAGCGGTGAGTGCACAGTAATAGAGATGTTCAAATGTTGGGCGGCTTTCTCACGCAAGATACCTGGTTTGCTAGTCTGCCAATGTCGAAGGTTATCAATGATTATCCAAAAAACCACTTCAGACAGCCAGTACTCAGCTCTGTCTATCCTTGCAACGGCTCCAAGGATATTAAAACTCAGCCTTAAGAATGCGTACTGGGTTACACCGCAGGGCGGACAAGGGTCCCTCTGGGAGAAAGCTGCGGCAGAGTGCCGGCGGTTTGCAGCAGTTCATCACTGCCGCTTTCTTGAAGTGCAGCCACTGAGCACTTCTGGGACGGAGTCTTTATTGCACTTGTTGGCATCTAGTAATTCGCGTCCTGTGGATGTTGAAGAGTGAAGCACGCAAATAAAGAATTGTGCCTTGTAATTTGCAATTCACCCAGTCCGGGGTCGTGGTTGGCACCTGAGGAAGGTGAAAAAACATCAAAGCTGCGGTCTCGACAAGACGCATATTTTTACATGTGGTGAAGTTGGACTGGAGCATACCGGAGTGCGGCTTTCACTCTGCGGTTTGCGAAAGGGCACGTTCAAGGTGTCAACTGCATCTCATTAGTGTGCTTGCACGGCATATCTTCTATGCAAGCATGATACAGAATAGTAACTTCAGTCGTATCAGTAAATGGCAAGAAAACAATACTGTCTTGAAGCGAATGCGAGTGTTGAGCGATGCTCCAAAGCATCACTACCAACTACGCTGCATCCGTTTACCACACGCCGAAGACTCCATTAGATAAAAATTGCGATCCCGTTGTTTCTTGCCGAAATGGCTTGCCTTTCAGATACAAAGAATGTTATTGATACTATTGTCAGGTGCTTTGGTGTGTGAATATTTTGATAGTTACACATGAAAGGGCAGTTAGAAGACCCCCACACTTTTTCCAAAATTAGAAGGGCTGACCGCTATCAGTGCCTCCTGGCACGTTGGTCCTAATAGACGCAAATGCAAGGCAGCACATGGAAAGTGCATCTTCCAGATTGGACATACAACAGGCAGGCTTATACATTTCTAACTATTTCCTTTAGGGTCTAGGGCTTCCCGATACCCCAGAATGGGCTTTATGGCTTGCCGCTACGCTCCCGTATAAGGTGATCGCAGTGTAGTGCTGCATCACTGGCAAGATATTGGTGGCACCGGTGGGACACGTCATGTGTTGGCCACGTTATTCCACTATCTCCGCAAGGAAGGATTTGTCTGGCGGACCATGGAAAAAACGAAGGCAATAAAAGGGCAAACGCAATCCACTTTTCATACCGCATCCTGCAGCAAAGTACCCAAGTTGGGGGTGAAGACCCATTACGGCTTCTGCCCGCTTAATTCCTTTTAGTGTACTGGCATCCTGGGAGGTGCCTGGATTCTAGTGACTCCAGGAGTATTATGGAGGGGTATTTCAGAGACTGAAAATTGCAAACACTAGCCGAAAATGGGTCAGCAACTGAGTTTATACGCAAATTATTCCAAGAACGTTCTTACTGAAAAGAGGTTGAGATGGGGAAAAGGTCGGAAGGTTGCGTTTACGTGCTTTCGAAGCCGTCTTTGCACGCCTCAACAGTGACACCGCTCTCACAATTGATACAATCCATTGACGACCATTACGCGTATCTAAAAGTGGTGGAGTCTTGCTCCCTGCCCCTTCCCTGGCAGGTAACACTGCATTTCAGAGCAGCAGGGCCCTTTCAAGGGCTGGAAAAGCACTGTGTAGTGTCCAAAGCACCCGGATGAGTTCCTCAGTATATGAACTCCCCACTGCACTGTTTCAGTTTCCGAGAAGGCACCACCCAGATGGCACCTTTTGAAGAGAAACGGGTGCGCGATAGGAGATCGAGCGGGGTTCGCTATCCCACATCACTTCCTAAACGAGCAATGCTGCGGGACCCGTACGGTAAAGAGAAATCATAAACACAAATATGGTGAACTCAGAGTGCCCCAGTGCGTGTTGTTTTGATGGCAGATCAATTAAAATCGTCTCTACGTACACGTCAAAGCGGCGCTCATGTTGCGTGATTGCGCTGGCCGAGGCTGCAAAGGTACCCCTATTTCGAAGCAAGTCACGGTAGGGAAGCAGGCACGACGGAAGCTCTTCAGGTGCACTTTTGAAGACGACAATACACCTCGAGAGAAGCACGAAACACTTCCACTGCCGACAAGTTGCTGCGTTCTTCACGCTCAGCACTGGCACATTCTCCATACATTGTTACGAGGGTAACGTTCCTGAACAGATCGACTACAGACGGATAACTGGTTCCAACAAATGGAGCCCACCCTTTTCTGGCCTCATCGCTTAACGGCAAACCCCAATTAATTTCCGTTCTTCAAGAAGAGAAATGGCTGAACTTTTGATGAACTCTTTCGGGAATGCCTCTTTCTGTCCCAGGTCCCAGGAGGAGGGACCTCATTGACAATCAGTCCTTAGGCGGCCCAGATTCGAGGTGGGGCTCGCAGCCAGCATCGACCTCTACAGCCATACGGTGCCACCACATACGATGGTTGTTATTTGGCCTGCCTGGCTAGCGTAGTGCCCTCGCGTGCTGCGACTGTCTCAGCCAGTATGATGGTACTTACACAAACTATCTTTCTCCCTCTGTCCCCATCCTATCTGAGCACTGCAGCATAGCATCTTTGGTCTGGTTGGTCTGGTGGGGAGATAGTGCGGCCTTTCCAGCGCTGCAGCACTTTCTGCTCCAACTTCTGCCTCCAAAGCAACCCCACCAGCACGCTTTCCCAGGCCCCCTCTTCAGCGAATGCACTTACACGGCAATCCATTGTTACTTGCTTGGCATCCAGTACAAAACGAAAAAGGATGGATGCATGCGCAGGCTTCTGCCAGACCCCTTTACACGCGCACAGCTGCACCCCCAGACACAAAAGCAACCCTGCATGCAAGAAGCTCCAAGCCCCTCTTTCATGACTGTACAGGCACCTCAGCCAAATGCTGGACACCTCCCAGGCCTCCAATGGCCAGCATACACATGTGCATTGGTATATGTACGTACTACTGACAAACTGTCCTAGAACGGCACACTGTGCCTCTTAAGGCATATGCTGACCATACCTTCGTGGGGTAAGCAGATGTCTGAGAAAAATTTACCCTAGGACCGATTTCTGCATATCTCTATGCCCCGAATGAGCAAAACATGCTGCTAGGTTGAACTGAGGGTTTCTGCAAGCATCATCGCTCACCCGCCAAGGGACATCGTCGTGGGAGGCTGCCCGGACGCGTGCTCATAAAGTGCGAATTCAGATGTTCAGTTAATTAACAACCTCTTGAATATAAGAAATGTAGCAAAAAGATAGCCGAAAACCACAGAGATAGAAGGAGTCCTACCATGCAATGCGATCAGTGGCTGCGGTGTTCATACGGGAGAGACTGAAGGGGACTTGGGGCAGCCGCCGCTTCATGGCTCCCCTACAGAAGCCGAACAGGAAAACATCGCAGCAATACAAATTGTTTATTATGTTAGACCAGGGCCATCTGATTTATTAGCTGACGGCTGCAGGGCCCAACAAATTAACCGGAGCAATTATGCGACGCCATGTCCTCCGTTGAAGTATCCCAGGTTCAGCGGCGCAGGCGGCTATTTTAGGTTCGCATGAGTCATTCTGCATCTGTTCATAAGCGTTCCAAAAGGGATGTGGTAGGTGTAAGGCTGGTTCAAAACTGAGGGGGTCCCGTTTTCTCGAGCAGCGCGAGCGTGGCACATGCACTACCAGAACACCTCTTCGCGCCCGTCGCAACGATCCTCCTTTTTTTTTGCGCAACCACTACAAACACCAGAACCTACCATCAGAAAAGTCCCAAGCTTGGAAACACAGCACACGGTGGCGCCTCGGTAAAATCCTGTGGCAACGAGCGGGTTTTAAGGGACGGCGGTCGAAGGTTAAAAAGACAAGGAACAACGTTATGCTGCAGTACATATCAGTGAGGCGGGTACGCGTTTTCAAGTAGCTGAACCCCAGATGTCCCCCTGGTGGAGCTTGGCCGCCATCCTTACCCGGGCGGCCTGGGTCGGCGGCTTTCTCCTGTCAGCAGTTGTTGGTAAGCTTGATGCCTTCTTATGACCATTCCTACAACTGCATGCACTTTCTGCCTCTACGTGAGCATTTCGTGCCCTTCATGCAGTGAGAATGCAGGATCTGGCAGTGTCAGGGTTCTTGCAAATGTTGTGTGCGCGCAGGCGTGCTGTGGTTTTTCCAAGAGAAACTTGTTTTCTACCCTGCAGGTACTCAAATAAAGGCCTGTTGCCTTGCAGCGTACATGAACATCATTTATACCGTTATGAAACTCCCCACAGCAATACTCATCTACTCCGGCTGTAGGCAGTGATTCGGAGTTTTGTAGCCGGTAGCTCGTGCGCTGTGCTTGCATGCAGTTCCTAAAGGCTATGAGACGCCAGATAAGAACCCAAAGGGGTTACATCATCCAGGAGAACGGAGTGAGACGGACGACGTGTAGCCAGTTGACGAAATCTGGAGCTTCCGCTTTAGTGTTTTCAGAGCTCGTTTGCTTGGATGTCGCGTGCGTGTTCCGCAGATTTGCCGTTTGACGATGTCTACATCAGGACTAGTGACGGCGTGACCCTGCACGGTTGGCTTTTGCGTCAGCCAAATGCATTAAAAGCGCCCACCTTCCTTTACTTCCACGGGAATGCCGGCAGTAAGCCCATTTGATAGTTGTATCTACCATTTTGTATATCTCAAGGGCTACCTACGCTGCATTTCCCCACTTCCTTTTTGTACGTGCGGCAAACGCCTTCTCATGAGGGGGAGCTTATTCTATGCTGCTTTGTGGCCTCCAGTGCACGTGAATTTCTCCACCTTGAGCATCTAATCGTTTTCCTTTTCAATGAGTTGGTTCACCCATATTGTGTACTACAGACTTAAAGTCCTGGCTTTCTGTGGTTATCTTGGCATGGGTGCAGACATTGGGTTTCGGCTACCCAACTTGGAACTGATGTTCCGCATGGTTGGCGTAAATATACTAATCGTATCATATAGAGGGTGAGCATGGATTCGTTTCCAATTGAGCAACGATAGTTGGCACGCTAATAGCCTGGCAGGCAGCGTAGGCCTGCGTATTCCGGGCTGTCGTTCATCAGGTTTCTAGCTTGAGCGTCTATTTCTATTCGCAGGTATGGATACAGTGAAGGGTCACCCACAGAAGAGGGTGTGTATACGGACGCGGAGGCTGCATTGGACTTCCTTTTGGAAAATGGGACTGTCAACAACAAAGATATTTTTGTCTTCGGCCGTAGCATTGGGGGGGCGGTTGCAATAGAGCTAGCAAGACGCAGAAGTGACGAGGTACGAAGTTCTGGGCCCTTTGGCACGGGTTTGATGATGCGGTTTGGGCATCCTGTTGGGCTCTCGCTGATAACCGTGTCGTTGGCTGGTTGCTTGAGGCATTGTTGATACAAGTTTTGCGTTGCTGCACTGTCGCGTCCATTCCGCACAGCGTCTGGGAATCTTTTCCTCACTCTGCACTGGCTTATCCGCTGTTCCCGTATGCACGTCCCTTTCCCCGCAGCTGAAGGGTATTGTGGTGGAGAACACGTTCACGTCACTGCTGGAGATGCTTTACATTGTCTTCCCTTTTTTGAGCCCATTCAACCTGCTCGTAAAGGCCGTGCAGGTTAGTTTGATTCGCCAGCCCACAAATTTAGCGCGTCGACCATAAAGCGTAATGTTCTACGTTGAGATCGCGGCACTCACTTGTAATTGCCGCTTCGGGGGAAGTTTTGGACGTTGAAGCCACAGTTGTTTTTTTGGGCACACATTGTGAGAGCTCTGTTCCGCTGATGCGCGTAAGGGGCTTTTTTAGAAATATCTGTACTGTGCTGTGCTCGTGAGTTTGATGCAGCGGATGTACATGTTGAACGATGAGAAGGTTCGCACATTGATTTTGCCTGTTTTATTCATTTCGGGACGCCAAGACAGACTCGTCCCTCCGTCGCACATGGACGTGCTATATAGCGTAAGTCTGCACATTGCGCAGCCTCACTGTAGCTTGGGGCCAGCTGTAGTTGGTTACAGTTGCGGTTAAACTACGTTTTGTTTCATATTCTGCTACGTTGCTAATTGCGTTTTTTTTTGCTGGTCGAGCTCTAGATCCGTGAAGAGTGTCTAGTTCTGTGAAGTAGTTGAATACTCTGTGGATTGCTTGGTCTGCGTTTGCAGACGTGCGGTTCTCGCGTAAAGATGCGAGAAGACGTTGAAAATGGAGGCCACAACGACACATGGGAAGTCGGGGGTCAAAGTTACTACAATAGGCTTCGCGAGTTTGTCCAGGTGGCACTTTCTGAATCAGCATCTTCTGAAGTCACCCGCCACTCCGGGACCCATTCAACAATCAGCGATGCGTCAACAAATGTGTCATTGAGACAGTTACGGTCGACTCCCTCCGTAACTGAGGAGGCAATGTGCAAGTAATGGCTGAGGAGCTGCTGCTGGGTCGCCGTCGTCACGTAACATCGGTTCCAGTGTTCATCAGTGCGGCAGAAGTTTCCAGCAACGCTCATCATCCAGTGTACGGGTTCTTGTTTTATGAAACTCCTGCTGAAACTATCGTGGCGCCTACTGTACGAATTAGCAACTGTCACTCGTATAAAGGCCATCTTCAAAAGACGCCTGCAGAAATAATGCAATCTGCATGTAGTAGCTCCAGCTGAGGCACGGCGGTGTGCCTCCCAAATATGGCGTGGAGTTAGTTTCTAAGCAATTGGTATTCATCATCCTGAAGACACTTTTCCAATGTGTTTTCGTAAGTTGCTGCAGCAGTTGGTGGATGCCTACGATTGGAAAGGAATTTTATTGTTGACGGAGGCAGGCTTATTGGCTACGATGACATATTTTCTTAATATTGCCTTCTCGTAAGTGGAGAGCGTGGCGATATGAGAGCGAGCGGTACCCGAACCTCGGAGAAAAAGGTCACCGGGGGGTTGCAGAGGTCTCCTTCAGCCAGAAAACACTCTCAACGGAGCATGAATGCGCATCATGCGAATTTCTTTGACTTTACTGTTCATAGAGTATCTCGTGCGTCCCATAAGGTGTGGCCACCTCGTGGGTCCAGGCTCTACGCCGGGAGGTGGCCTTAGGGCCCACCGAACAGCATTGGAGACGCATCCAAGTAACCTTTACTACTTTAAGATTTGCAATGCCTCTCAAGGTGAACAACAAGAACCCCCTACGGGGTAGTTTTGGCTTAAGGGATGGTCTTACATGTAGACCACTGAGCAGGGGAGTAGCAATCCGCAGCCGTGCCACTGTGGCCGTACGTGACAACACAAGTAGCATGTTGGGATCTGAACAGTTGGAAGATAAAAAGTATTCAAAATTCAAGCGGGCTAGAAACAGAGAACATTCGAATCCACCCACCCGGCCGCATGCTGAACTCATGAGGCTTGTGAGAATGGTCCAGCCCCTGTAGCTCTTAACCCAACGGCCTTTGCCAAACTGCTCTCACACAATCTTCCCTTCTCAATTTCAGTTTAATTAGCAGTAGAAACTTAGTGTGTAGTGCAGCTTTGGCATGAGAAACAGCTGATGTCTTTCCGCCATCTGCAGCACAAGCAACTGGGGTCCGGGCTGGCAACTGCGGAGCCCTGAGTTTCTCTGAAAGCTTTGCACCTTGCATTCCTAATACAATTTCAACAGCTTCCTTATTTTTATGTAACATTTTGTCTGGCTTAGAGGAGGGAGTGGGGAGGAAGCCCGGCATGGCATCTGCACGTGAGCGGCTGCCTCACGACTGCAGACGGTGGTTGGAGCCTCCGTGGATGAAAGCCATTGAAATATCTCTTTGCTTCTTTCGTATTGTTGTATTAGCGTGAAGATGGACTCTTACGACTCAACTGTAGTCGGTCGCTCCTTAAAGGGCAGCGGTGTAATGCAACAGTATGCAGGTGAGTGCTTACTTATGCCCCCTTGTAACTCTTTAGAGGAATGCGTGTAGCACATTCCTGTAATGCCTTTGTGTTGATCATTTCACCCATAATGTCCGTCTCCTTGGCCGGTGTGTTTTGCTTTCAGAGGCATTCCGGCGGACATCCACCAGGGTCACGTTTGACCCGCGAGCTGCAGCCAGTGAGGTTCTACACGAATGTTTACAGACGCGAGTGTATTTATAGTTTGCTTATCTATTGCTCTCAGCATCATGTTGCTCAGTTCCTGCACTCAAGGATCAGCCACTAGCGATTTTACAACCTCTTGGCGGGCGTGACGTTCTCTATGCGTTGCAGCGACAATGCCACACGAGAACTCCACTGACCAAAATAATCTCTCCATGGATAGCTCTAACGCTTTGCTACTACCGGGTAGTTGGCAGTCTACCACAAAATTCGATCGCTTGCGCGATCTCAGCTTACTCACAGGTCAGTGAATTGCCGTCTTTGTTCCCCGGCTTCCTTCCTGGTGAAACAAGCGAGAACAAAGCTCGGCCAGGACGTGCATTAGGAGTCAAACGAAACGATGATTGTATTATCGAATATGTTGGTTTCAGAGAGAGATGAGGCGGAGATGTTTCCTCCACTCCGCCAGGAGATCACGTTTACACTGCCCACCCCGCCAGCCACACAAGAGACAGAGCCTGAATTGTGGCACCCAACAAACCCGTCTACCATCGCGTGGGTTTTTTTACCTTGAGGAAGTTCTTTCTTGGCCCATCCATTCTACATTAACTGCTAGCTCTAATTCTAGCAGTATACATCTCTGGAGCGATTTGAACGGGCTCTCATGGCAAGCTCGGTCCGTCAATGCAATCATCTCACACCTTGATCCTCCATTCTTGTCCCTCCTTGCATTTGCCGGTGTGGTTTTGCAGTGCCAGAGGACTCCCAGCTGTGGAAACCTTCCTGGGGGGTGATACCCTGCCAAGACAATTGATCTCTCGGTTGAACGCCAGCGACACACGCCTGCTTGCTGGAGAGACAGAGCAACTCACAGTTCCTTACGTGAGAGTAGAGGGAACATCTGAAAGGTACAGCTACTTCCCAGCTTCTGAGGAATTGCCTTTATCAGGACTGTGGCACGATCCTGCCCTTTTTAGTGACGCAGGAAAGGGTCAAACAGCCTTACAGTTTAAGCCGAAGGAACCACCGAAAGCTCCTGCGCAAAGCAGCAGAATTTCGCTTCCGCCTGATCCTTCGGGACTTCCAATGACTCCTCCACGACCTCTGTCACTGTCCGAGCAGCAAGTTAGAACTGCACCAAGAGCAGCTATGCAGTACGCTGCGGAGGATATCTCAGTATATCCGGGAGGCATTCCAATGGAAAATGTAGTAGATCTTCAGGAAAAGGCCCTTTTTAAGTCGTTCGAGCAGCTTTCCCAAGACTCCATTGTTGAGAACCTCATGCTGGACGCAGTGAGACCAGGGTTCAAACGAGGGGTGATACAGCAGCTCCAGCAGCCCACCAACAAGCAGTGGAGGGAGCAGCGGCGGGCGGAAGCTATCGCAGCAAAGAACGAAGAAAAGCCTGTAGACCCGGCTGGCCAACCTAAAAAAACGGAGGGGGCGGCAACAACGAGTGGCAAAAGGGTCACGTTTGATTTGCCTAGCTCGTCCCCACAGGAGAAGATCAGTGAAGCGAAAGAGTCCGAGAGCCGGCTAGAGCAGCTAACGGAACGCCTCCAGCAGATCCGGTGTGCGCATCAGACTCAAGAGACTCAAAAGAAAGCAATTGTTAGCGGTGTATCGCAGGGCCCACCATCTGATGCACCACCCAAGGGAACACACGAATTTGTCGGTGACACTTTCGTGAACGAACTCATATCGCGATGCTCTTTAAAGCTGAGGACTCTAAATGGCGGCATGAAGGTTTCTTCTGTCGAGCCCAAGCCTCGGAACTCGACTGTTGCGCCGAAAGAGATGACTCGCCCTTCTCGCCTGCTTAAAGACATCGAAGCAGTTGAGGTCCGCAGGAAGCAGAGGGATGGGAACAAGCTCGGGGCACACGGATTCCGATCTCGACAGCATCAGGAGGATGCCACTCTTTATTTGCCGCAGCCAACTGAAGAGTCAATCTCTATTAGGTGCTCAAAAGGTATGCAGGGACTGCGGGCGCTTAGGGGAAGACCAAGGATTCGCTCCCCCCCATCAATGCCAAAGGCAGATCTTCTTTGTCTCTCAAAGTCCCTCCTACCTGCATCTCAAGACGCTGATGCAGGGTCTTTCATAAGTGAAGAAGAAGCTGTTGAACGCATGCATGATAACGCCCCTGATTCGATTGATAGGCCGTCTTACGAGGTCTATCACACCACGCCAACACCGCCAGAGGACCTTGTCGACGCGACCCCGAGTTTGGAGGAACTGTCACGAAACTTTGTGCCGACCACAGGGTACCCTCACGATGCAAACAACAACACGAACTACCCAGCTGCTATTCCTGCGTTTGTTTCCCGCTTGTCAAAATCTCAAGACAGCCGAATGTCCGTGCCGCCTGCCGCTGCAGTTCTGTATGCCATCCCCAAGGAGTCTGAGGCTTGTTCCATAGTCGAGGCGATGCCTACAGATCCGCGTTCGGGGGCTTCACAAATCACAGAAGCGGCGCTTGCAAATATGAGTGCTAAGGAAATTAGAAACGTCGAAGAGCTTGTGGCTGGCGGCTTTGTTGCACTCCAGCGTCAGACACACAAGCTAGACTACAGGAACCCATGGGAAGACGAGAAGCTGCATCTCAAGATGATCGTAAATGAACCGATCCATTCCAGAGACCCCCTATTCACCGAACGACAAAACCAACTCTTGAACAAGTGGAAATATCCGGCAAATGAGATATCACCCGGTTATTACATCAAAGAGGCAAGTCTGGAAGATATCCGCCAGGCGATCCTCGCGAACAAGAAGCAGCGTTCCATATTTGACCTCCAGAGTAAGTGGCGGCCGTTGCAAGAGTGCGAAATTATGGCAGTTGCTGCTCAAATGCAGGCAGACTGGAGCAGGTGATATCACGAAAAAACTTGGGATGCCTGTACCGTGTGTTACAGAAGCGCTTAAGGAGGCGAAGGAGCGCGAAGAAGAGGAACTTCGAAAACGACGTGAAGCGGAGGATGCAGAGATTGCAAGGCGTCTGCGAGAAGGGCATGGGAAGGAACTGGCTGATACGGCAAGTCTGGAGCAGCCGAAGACCCAGACTGACGAGCCGTCTGCTCAACGGGCAGGGGCATCTGAGAAAACACAAGGCCTTCCAGAAACTGGTGAGCAGGCACTGAGTGTTGAGCAGCTTAAGAAGACTTACCGGAAACTTCGGAAACGGGCGAAAGCAGAAGATGTAGAGGAGATGAAGCGCATCAAAAAGCAAATAGCGGAACTTACCGGACTCACGAAGAAGGTAGATAAACATTTGAAAAAGGTAAGGGTGCTGCGGTTGTTTATATCAAGGGGTCTTTTTCGGAGAAGAAAAGCCATATACGAAATGGTTTCCTAGACCAGAGACCACCGATAGCATGCAGCCAGAATAGTTCTTTGTGGAAGCTCCTGTGCCGTCGCTATCAGGAACGTCGGGAGGCACTGGCTCCCCCACCGGAGGCCGACTCGGCAATCTGGAGAACAGACGAGCAGATGGAAGACGAGAGACGGAAACAGCGGGTCAGGCAAATGCTAAGTGCGCAACAAGGGGGGGCAGCTGGGTTGCTGGCAAAGGTCATGGCAGGAAGAGGAGTCGAAGCCCAGTCTGATGATGAAGAGGAGAGTCCGGGAGAGGAGGACGAAGAGGAAGGGCTGGGAGAAGAGGATCAAGGGGTAGATGAAGAGGTGGAGAGCGAAAGTAGCGTCGACGATACGATTTCGTCAGGCTCAGTGAGTAGCTACGAGTCAACAGAGCATCCTGTCTTTCAGCGATCCGAATACTCTGCCTTAGAGTATCAGGCCGTACCCGAGTCGTTGCAAGAATGGATGAAACTCCCAGTGGACTACTGCGGCCGGATGTTTTTTGAGACCCGCCACGAGTCTACGCTGCGTCCACGCAAATTTGGGACGCGTTCATTGCCAGCGATGCGTAGTAGAGCGAGTGGGCCGCTGGAGCAAATTCGGATGTTTCTCATGTTGGAAGCAAGAGGACCCGTAATTTTGGTTTATTGCACACCGGAACCTGCCCCTCAGAGGAGGAAATTTAATCTATCTGCTCTTTGTGGTAAGACAAAAGCTCCTAAGACCTCGGAAGTGTCTCCTCAGCAGTGGAAATACCTGTGTGCTTTCGTATTGGATAACACAGGAGAAGCTCAGGATGTGGACATGATGGGCGGTGGTCCGGGAGTGCCATACAAAGCCATCAAAATAAGCGCTCGCATTGTTCAGGGAGCAGCAGCTCTTCCTTCGGAAGTAGACTCAGCAACCTTCACACGGGGGCAACTGGCTTTGCGTGATAAAGCTTATTTCAGTGGATTTCTAAGTGCAGATACGGACTCCGAAACTAAGGAGTGGTTAGAGATCTTCAATGGACGCAAGGCATTCTTTCGCTATATTTCCGCATGTATGGATGCCTCTATGACACCCAGGCTTCCGATTGTGGCTAGTCTTTGGAGTCCTGGTCCCAGGGAAATCGTACTTCACGGTGTACCATACAACAAGGAGGTAGACAAGGCTATTTTTAGCTCTTTGAATGTGCCCTATTTGGACTCCTTATGCTGCGGATGGAGAGGCATGGATGCAGAGGGACTAGCAGCACTGTTACAGAACGTTTCATGCAAGGTCAGGACGCTGGACCTGACGGCGAACATGTTTGGCTCCACCGTGCTGAAAAGGCTGGGGAACTTCTGCAGTAGGCTAAGAGTTTCTCACCTTTGTCTGGCAGAGAACAACATTGCTGGGGATTTAGCCGCAGCACAAGGCATTGCAAATCTCATGGCAGATCCAGACCCTCCATTTCTGGACTTGAGGCGCACAGCCATTGTAGACGAGGACTGCAAAACCATCGCCAGGGAGCTTGAGAACGTCAAACAGCCCGGCTTGGTGCCGAAGACGGTCAATTTTGGAGAGAATGACATATCGGTGGAGGGCTTGAAGGTTGTTGCTGCAGCCGTGGCCAAAACACTCCCACGCTTCAAGGTCCTGTGCCTGCCCGGCATACCCGCACTGAACAGTGAAGCACTGCAAGACGTTCTTAAAGAAGTGCCACAGATGCGGCAGGCGCAACTCTCCAGAGACAATCCAAACTTTCCTTTCCGATCACTGAACGAAATGGAACTGCCAGAAAGGTGTCTAGCGCTGCCTGCCGTATTCAGCGGGAGGCTGTTCGTCGAAGTCAAGAATCCAGTCTTGGACTCTCCCCGGAAGATTCCAACCACAGGTCTTTTTTTGGCATTCTTCGAGGTGAGGGGCCCAGCTCTTCTCCGCTATTCCACTCCGCCAAGGCCCAACTGCATCACCACCGCGGCAAGCAAACGCTCACCGGGGATACCTCTCGGATCCCTTTCTCGTTCCTTCGGGGACGGACTTGAGGGCATCTTCTTGACGTCAGTTTCGTTATCAGCTTCGGGGCTTACTGTGACTGGGAAGAAGATTCTTTCCAGCGACTTAGTTTCAACTGACAGTTCTGAGAGTTGGGTGCTCCAGGGAGATTCTGAAGCTTACGTACAGGAATGGTTCAGAGTGCTCAGAATCAGGTGAGCAGCTGGGGAGGGCCTGTGGGAGAATTGCCTTGAAAAAATGCAGCCACACAATCCCCTTCAGAACTTTGGCAGAGAAACAGCATCGCTGTAGAATGCACAAAATCTGTAAGACGAAGCAGCGTCCTTGCGTGATAAGTGGTTCCCCAACAGTGCGCCACATTTAACAAGCTGTGTGCCTGTGTCAACGTGCTGCAGGCAAGCAGGAGTAGCATGCAGCAGCATTGGAAGAAGTTCCAATGAGGCACTCCACCCTGGCGTGGGCCAATACTGCACCAGCTGCTTCAGACCAAGCCTAGAACTGGGAGGTCGCCGATTGTCCTCCGGACAGTTTGCAAGCCTTTTTCTGGCCGTTTCGGAAGATCATCGTCTCAGAAGTGTGGATATGAGCAATATGGAATTGGATGTAGAAGCATTGCGGCGCTTCCCCAAAAATGCCTTCTGCAAAAGTGAACTCACTCTCCTCGATTTGTCTTTCAACTCAGTCACGCCTCAAGGTGACATGTCCAATGTAGTGGCTTTCTGTGGCAGCGCACAGAGTTGCGCTAGTTTGGTTCTGGACGGAAACCCGCTCGGCAATACTGAAGCAACCGCAGGTTTTGTCTTCAAGCTCCTGGAGTGCCGAATTCAGAGTTTGAGCCTCAATGCATGTGGCCTTGGAGACACTTTTGCTGAAGCTCTGAGCAAATACGTAACGGCTGAACCGAAGAGATTCCCTTTTATTACGGCTTTAGAGCTCCAATCAAGTGCTATATCCTTGGACTGCATGAAGAACTTGCTGGATGCCTTGATCAATCGCTCTCCTGGACTAGTGAAGCTTAGCCTGTACGGCAACGGATTTGATAATATTGGTCCATTAACTCGTCACGTAACGATAGACTACACGAAGACGCACAGTGACAATCCTCCTCGGCAGGCCCCTTTTTGCCGCCGGATTGCCAAGAAACCGAATACTGTAGTTCCGTGCAACCCAGGGCAGACCCAGCGTCCTGGCAAATCAGTTTTAACAACTTCCCAACCTGTGACAGCAATGGATTCTTCCCTTTCTCAAGCTAGAGCCCCCACGGCGAACAGTCAAGCACAACCCTCTACACCAGAGCCTGGTGTTCAAGGCCCCGGATAGCCCCAGAAAATATCGCCCACTCCTATGAACGCTAGGTATGCTTTTTTCCAAGGCGTCTCCGGCTTGTATTGGATGTCTGCATTTAGATATTGTGTTTGTTCTTGTTGTACTCGACGGTTTATTTGAGCACCCGAGAACCAGAGCTGGTGCCTGCCCCCACGTGACCATTTTCAGCATCGCAATTGAATCGCATTGAGGATGGTGCAACTAGCCTCCTGTGGAAGTCGAGAAGCATCTTGTGGTATGCAGACCAATGCCTTTTCGTCTTTCTGCAAGCACTTTATGTTTGGCTTGGCAGCATATCCGCTAGGCATGGCATGCGCAGTGCGCAATGATGTGGACTAGCGGTATCCTGTGTGAGCAGCGATTCTGTCCGAACGAACGGCTGCTTGATGCTTTTTTGTCCTCTCGACAGCACATATAAAAGCCTCCTGACATTTGAAAGCACGAAAGCGCTCATGCTACCCGTAGATTTTGGCGCTTCTCCCTGCGTTCCTTGCAGCACTCACTTGCTCAAACTAACAATGAATCCCATGCTTCTTGATTGCTCTAAGTAGATGCCTCACTGTTGCGAAGGCAAAAATTGAACAAATCACCTGCATGGTGCGTAAAGTCCTCTCCGCTGTTGATGCGTAGCTTTTATGAGTGCAAATGCTAGGAGAGCTAGTTGAGGAGAGCCAATTTTCTTCTGGCTATTCTGCTACAGAGGGAACGCCCCTCCTATTATTTGCGCAGGGATGTGCAAGTAATATGAAATTGGTGGTTGCAACATGAACTACTGTTTATCTTCTGGTTTGGAAGTCGACATATTGACTGCTGGCCTACCGCCCAGCGCACATACGGGACGCCGCCATGGCGTTATCTTCAGCAAAATCCTCGATTTCAGTGCTATAACAGCAAATGAATTAGAGCAGACGTTAAATAGACAGAACGGCTTCACGGAATGCCCCATCTTTTGGAACATTCCCTCATGTAGCCTAGCCAGTGTGTCCCTGACAAGCTAAGCATTCGGCCGTATCACTGCATTCGTCGTGTATGAATGGCGCGGAAATTTGGGATCCCGTCAACGACTAAAGTCCTTTTTGATGAGAGAATTTTCAGTGGAATGGCTGTATGGGGTCTTACGAAGTGAGTTGGACTTGCGCGCTTCGCTATACTACTGCGGTACTGTCTTCCGAGATGCCACTGGGTTTCGCAATTCCATTGAATGCAGCATGTGCCGTCAAGATAAGTCTGTGGCTGCCAAAAACTGCAAAAAAGGAAACCCACAGTAAAGGAGTCTGACTGTTGTGTATTTCATTATCCGTGGAGTAGGACCATTGTGAGCTGTGGATTGCGGAGTTTCACTATGGGGTGGCCCCGTTTCCGCCTCCCTACTTTTACTGGAGTTTCAAGGGTGAAGTAGTTAAAGATTAATAATTTCTTAATTCTAAACGACATATTTTGGGGTTGTGAAGTCTAGATGAGTCGTAATAGTCCTTCGGCGGAGAAAGGCAAGGAGCGGTTGTTGATAGGCGCGGTGACCTTCCGCGCCCCCCGCCGAGACGGTCACCCGTCGGCAGCAACAGAGTGCAAATGGACGACTGGTGAGCTACATTTTTCTCCGGAAAAGAGCTGTTGCTTTCACTTTTTGTTAACAGGTATAATTTCGGGATTTGTTACGGCTTTCTCCCCTCCAATATAAGCACACAATGACCCGCCTCATGCTGGCGGCGCTCGCCGCCTCCGCGGCGGTTTTCATGGCTGAGACAGTTTATGCAGCCTTCATGCATCCAGTTAATGATGGCAGCAAAACCCCCATGTATTCCAAGTCCAAAGGCCCGCCTCCTCCCCAGGAGATATGCCAGACAATTCCAGTCCAAGTGGACTCAGTTTGCTTCGAAAATGTTCCCTTCAAAGAGGCGTATGTCTGTCCCCAGGTAGTTGAAAAACAGGTGTGCGAGAAGGTACCCATGGAGGTAGCTGACACATGCTACAAGCCCACCAACGCCTTGGAGGCCTATGATTGCAAAAAGGAGGTGAAGAAGGAGGAATGCAAAATGGTGCCTAAACAGTGCTTCAAGACCATCACAGAGCAGGAAGAGTACAGCTGCGAAGAAGAGCAATGTGAAACTGTTGTTAAAAAGATACCTCAGACGTGCTTTAAAAAGAAGAATTCCAAAGAAAACTATCCTTGCATGAAGCACAAGAAGCAGAAGGTTTGCCAAGAGGTGCCCCAAGAGTACGAAAGCACCTGCTTCCGGGAGGAAAGCCACCAAGAGCTGGTGCCCTGCAAAGGAAAAGAGGAGAGCGGAGCTGTGAGCTTTGAGGAAAAGTGCACCATGGTGATGCAGGAGGTCGAATCCACATGCGAGAGACAGGTGATGGCACAGCAAGAATACCCCTGTACGAAGCGTGAAAAACGCAGGGACTGCGAAGTTGTGCCGCAGAAGGTGACCGAAATGTGTGAGGAGATAGTGGAGGAACAGAAACCGTACAAATGCAAGAAGAAGCAGATGGCTCAGAAATGTAAGATGGAGAACGTCAATGTTCCATCGACGTGCGAGAAGAAGAAGGGTGACAAAACCGAATACTACCAGTGCGAGAAGAAGGTGAAGCAAGAGGTATGCAGAGATGTTGAGGAGAATGTCGATGCAGTTTGCTATCAGTTGGTCTCTTCCAAGCAGCAGGTTCCCTGCAAGAAGAAAAAAATGGGGGAAGTTTGCGTAGATAGAGAGGTTGAAGTGCCCAGCACTTGCCTCCGTGATGTTCCCGTGATGGAGCCATACCCGTGCATGAAGAATGTGGAGGCACCGAACTGCATCAAGATTCCCATGTGCCCTCGATTCCACACTCAGAAAAAGGCGTATCCTTGCATGGAAACAAAGATGAAGCAGGAATGCCACGTTGAGGAAGTACCCTACGAGGACACTTGCTCTCGGCAGTTCACCGAGGAAGTGCCGTACGATTGCAGCAAGGAAGTCAAATCTAAAGAATGCAAAATGGTTCCCAAAGTATGCAAAAGGAAGGTCTCGCGCGACGTTGCGTTCGAATGCAACGAGAGGGTTTGCGAGAAGGTCTCCCAGCCCCAGGTCTGCTACAGGAAAGTTAAGGGCAAAGAAGCATATCCATGCACTCGTACGGAGTACAAAGAACAGTGCCACATGCAGCAGCAAGTCCTCAGCAAGACGTGCTACAGCCAAGGGATGAAACCCCAGCAGTACCCTTGCAAAGAAACCAAGTATGAGACCATCTGCAAACAGGTGCCTTCGAAGGCCCCAATGGTGATCCCTGCACCCGTTAAGAAGGAGAAGGAGAAGAAGGCCAAGAAGCACTAAACGAATATATCTGCTTGATACGCCTGCGTTTTAAGCTGCATAGCCAAATGAGCTTGCCATCTTTCTGTCTGTATTCCCTTAAATTCTTCCCCCTGGCAAGAACAGCCAGGGATCCATGTCGCTGTACCCTCCAGGACCCTTTCTTCTGTTACCAGCCCGTTCTTCCGGCCTCACTTAAGGCGTCGGCAGCGGCGCGTAACCCCCTAAAGTGTGTGCATACACTTTCCTACAAGGACTGGCCACCTGAACTGGCAACTTGCTGGGCAACTAAAGCAGTGTTTACTCCTTGCTCCTGCGCAGCTAGGGATGAAGACATCCACAAAAGGAGTGAATATCGGTAACAGCTAAACATATTCAGTCGAACCCCTGATATGCACAGCAGTCCGTTTTTGTCATTCGCAGAAAGGCCGGCAGGGAAAAACCGGTAGCAAGACATATTCAGTCGAAACGCTTTTCAGAGCCGTTGCATTATGCTCATGCGAAAAACTAAAGTGTATAAGTCTACATCATGCCAGCATAGTTTCCTACAGGTCTCAAGCTGGGGGAAGCATGAAGCATAGCAAACCAGTGGGAGATGCACTTTGCTTCGGTGCGCTCTCAGCTGGAGATGTAGCAACCACCAGTGTATTTCTGGAATACTGCGAGTGGCAAACTTTCACTACACACAAAAGCCCTATCGACTTTCTTTTCCTTCAGCCCTTTGATCGGGTGGGTTTCTTACTCTTCCCATGAGTGTGGTTGCGCTCTGTTTTGCATATTTCTATCTTCCATCTCTTAGATAGACAGTGGCATGCGCCTCCTCATGAGATTCCTCTTCATGCGACTCCTTGTGTGAGTGACTTCATGTGTGCCTGCCATTTTCGTGTGTACTTTTCTTCTCTTCTTTGCTTTTCTCCTCCCCGCCCGCATCTTCTGTGTCAAGTGCTTCGTCTGGCCTATCTCTCTTTGCCTCTTCTTCCTTCGTCCCCTCTTCGTCTGTTTTCTCTTTCTTTGGCTCGTCCTTCTTTGCTTCTTTTGCTTCCTCGTTCTTTGCAGGCCGCTTCGCCAGTTCTTCCTCACGTGCCTGTTCCTTCTGTGCACTAGATTCTGCTTGCCTGTCAACCTCTTTTCTCTCCTCTTCTTTCTTACTCTCCTCTTTTTGTGCCAAAAAACCGTCGTTCTCGTTTATGTCCTCTGGATATTTTCCAACTTTCTCCTCGTCGTCATCCTCAATTCCGCCGCTGTGGTCTTCGTCTACACCCATGCCTTCAACAGCAGCCTCTGAACCTTCACTGGACGCAGAATTTTCCGTGTTTGAGAAAAAAGAGTCACTGGAAGGTGCCTGATTGGAAAGTCCGCCTTCATCTTGGGTCATGTAATTGAACAGATTGTTCGTCGACTCTGACTCCCCGGCTGGTTCACCTTCTGTTTCTCCAGAAGCCTCTCCGCCACTCGGTGCCTCTTCCCCAGGTCCGGCGCCTGCATTTCCTCCTTGCATATTCCCCATGGGAACAAATGGATATTGGTGGGATGGTCCGAAATTAGACAAATGCGAGGGAGAAGAGAAATGAAATGGCCTGCGTCCTGGGAAACCTACGTAAGGCATGAGGCCAGGCCTTATAACTGGGCCGGGGCCCCCTCCTGGAAAGTAACCGCCCATTCCTCCGCGAAAACCGCCATGGCCAACGGCTCCTGGGCCAAACCTCCCGGGAATACGAGGGCCTGGCCCATAGGGAATGGGGCCTCGCCCTGGGCCAAAGCGACCGCCCACGCCACCACCGAATGTTGGGTAACGTCTGTACGCCCCAACAGCCTCTTGAGAGAGGGTGGTAAGTCCATAGAAGCAAAGGAGTGTTGCGACCGTCATGACAGTGGCCACTGCACTGAACGGCTTCAACACCCTAATGGACATGTTGTCCTTCAGTACTTGTGTGCACCGGCTCATCTTCGAAGAAGAAGGACCCAGAGATCTGAGAAGTAGAAGACGGACAGGAGTGATACACAGACAAGTGTGCACAGGTACACACGCACGCACACACAGACCCAGCCCAACCTGTTCGTTCGGAAAGCAACCAAGGAAGGCTTGCTCGACGGAAGCCCGTTGACTTGAGCACCTCTCGATGGATATTAGAAATGGGCTTACAATTTCCTGAAGCAGAGTTCTCCCTTGAACGGGAAAATCGGAATTTCTCCGTGAAGGTCCACTTCAGACGGTGGCTCTAGTGTGAGTGACCCAGTTGGAGCTTCTCTAAGCCACAGCTAAGTTATGAAAGCGGAGCACCTAAATAAGAAAAACTATAAAAGTATCACAAATATTATAGTTAAACAAATCAGGAGTGAAAGAACGGCTGGCCAACGCGCAGCACACACCCACAAGCAACACCCAGCGACGGCTGACAGCGGTAGACGGACCAGCGGGCGCCTCAACCGCTCCAGCCAGGAGGCAACGGCAAGCGAAATTCAGAAAAAAAAACATTTAGTACACTCAGGATTAAAAATAAGTTTTAAAGGCTAGACTCGAATTTGAATTCGAGGGCCAATTTTCCTCATTTAGAGATCAGCCCGCCCGCAGGGACATCTCTGCACCGTTGGACACGGTCAAGACCATTGCACCACCACTGATACTGTTTCCCATGGCGGCAAAAGTAAAAGCAAGTTTTGTACGGTGGGAAACAAATTACTGAAGTTGATATGCTTTGTTGAAGAGACAGGCCATGTGGAACTGCGCAAGACATTTGATTGTGGTTAAGGGTCACCCCTGGTCATCGAGTCTGCAGGCTAGCAGCGGGCTCTTGCAAATGCTGGAAGCATAAACACTGAATGCTTGTCAAACGAGCGAACGAAAAAGAGTATCATTCATTTGTGAGCGCTTTCAAATTGACTCATCATAACCGACCGAAAGACACAATTTTTCCAGGTACCCTGTTGAGTTTCATGCAGTACATCTGCGCTTTTGGATTTCAGACCAAATGCATTTTATTTGCGGCACAATCTCCATAGCGCATACAGACGGGGATATGAAATGCCGAAGGTCCCCTGCTTAGGATGTAGATTGTCAGCTGCACGCGACACTCACCGCTATAAATTCCTGTTCCCGCTGCAGCTACTGCAGCCGTAGCTGTCTGTGCTGGTGCTGCTGCTGCAGCTACTACAACTATTGCAGTATATGCTGTTGCTCCCGCAGCTTCAACTGCTGCAGTTGATTCTGGTGCTGCTGCAGCTACTGCAGCTCGTGTCGCTGGTGCTGTTGCTGCTGCAGTTACTCTAACTCTTGTTGTGGGTGCTGTTGATGCTGCTGTTCCGCACGCGCTTGCGCTAAGGCCCCCTCTGCATCGACAACTTTGAGAAACTCTTCCTCTGTGAATTGAAGCCAACGAGCCGCCTCTAGATGAGCCTTCTGCTGTTTAAGAACCTCTATTAACTTAAACTGCTTCTTGATTGCTACTGCCAAGGCATCTCGCTGGGTCGTGACCTTTCGCAGCTCTGCTGCATGCCGCGCAGCAACGACGGCCTCCTTTGCTGCATTCTCCATCGACTTTTCTGCTCGGATGTGCCGCGCCAGACTGTTTTGCTGCCGCCGCAGCTGCTGCAGCTGCTCAACGTCTTTCTGCCTCAGGGCAACGACCTCCTTACTCCTTGCAAGGGATCTACAACACAGCTACGCAACCAGCAAAACCCCAGGTGTGAGATTGTGCTATTTTGGGCAATCGGTATTTGCCGTTCAGAACTCGTTAACTACGCGTAGATCAAAAATGCTGTAGCCGATGAGGATGCGCGACAAGTCTGTGCAGTTTCCCATTTATTTTTCGTGCCTTCCTTCAACGAAGAGTGTAGTTAGATATAGTCCGGTGCACCAAGAGTGCCACGATCAGCTCACTGTCCCAGCTGTTCTTCCAGCTGTTCCGTGCGAGCTGCTCGTTGCAACAGTAGATTTTGCTGTTTGTCGTGTGCAGCAGCAGCTGCTGCTGCTTGAGCTCTTAGTTCACGGAGTTGCTTTTGCTGCTCTTCTATCACGGAAGAGGCTTCAATAGCATTAGCCCTCTGCTGCTGTAGCTCTGCTTCTTGCTGTTGGAGCTGCTGGTGCTGCCTCTGCAGCTGAACCTGCAAGCACTCGATGCGCCGCGCTTGAGCTGCAATGACTGCCCGCAGCTCGTCAACTTCGTGCGCCGTTAAATTGGCGATTTCGTCTTCTGCCTGCAAGCACGAGATGTTCGTGGGTCTAATTTGTATTACGCAGGCTTCAAAACTCAATACTGGACCGGCGCGATTTCTGCTTCCTGGCAAATCAGCACGAATGTGCGAGAGTTGCACATATGTGCATCAGTACGCATGGCCCAAAACAGGCTACGCGCGTTTGTGTAAGCAGAAATAGCAAAGTGCACAAGAAAGTGTCGCTGCATGCCTGAGGGAACATCTTCGCGAATTCCTCAGCGACGCTGGATCCCTTAGCTAGTTCCTCTTGAAAGGGACTCGGAAACGTTTCAGGGCCAACGCAGTGCATTTTTTGTATTTTTCCTTGCGTGCTAGAAACCTCGCCTGCACTGGGCTGGCTTGCGGAAGCACTCAGAGGACGCAGGCGGACGCCGCCTTCTGACTTTCGCGCGGCTACTGCAGCTTCAAACTGCTGCCGACGTCTCGTGAAGTATCGGTCAGCCTCCTCCATTTGGCTGTTGAAGGGTTCGCTGCCCACGCTGGGCGCGTTGTATGTTACGGGCGAGGCCATCCCCCAGCAGTCGACATGTGATGTAGTGCAGTAATATGTTATTATTCTACATGCACACAAAGAGCGTGAGCAGCTTAAATGAATTTTTGAATTGTGAACTGGCTCAACTTCTGCTCAACCGAAAAGACAAGCTCCTTAAGGTCATGGGTTGGTTTGCAAAACAACCGTAGCTACAACTATCAAAACCATAAGCGGGCTCCGACCAACAAATGCCCAATACACCTGCAATTATTTTTCTTCAATGCAAATATTTCACTTTGCGTGCCTTATATCTGCATTCAAGCCATAGGCGAGGCGTATGAAAGTATATCTCGATTGCTTGCAGGGCCCCATCCATCAGCTGAATGCTCGGGAGGTCACCTCGGAAAGCCACTCGCGCCGTGGCACCTTCCTTCTTCATTCAGCAGAAAAAATTGACAAGGTTTCATTTCTTTTCGTTTTTTTCTAACTATTGCCTATCACACCTCTTTGCTTCTGGCTGCGCCACACCCCTCAGGTTGATCTGGATATTTCGAGAGGGGTGACAAAACCGGCGCGCGCATTGTGGTGTTTTCGTCCATTACTCCCGGTATTCAGGTTGTCCTCCGTAAGGGAAGTCGAGGGCTCATTTGGAAAATAAGGGTTGCCCGCAGCTTCCTGCAGACACTAGAAGGGGCAGCACTGCCAATACGGGAGACTATGGATCCTAAGGCACACTAATCAGCGTGTTTACGAACATAACGACGCAAACCCCATTCAGCTAAAGCATACACACACTCATATATATACTTATACATGTACATTTATCTCAGACTCCGTACCAACACAACTGGTTCAAGGGCTTGTCGTCGTCGGGTGTGCATATCACGTTCAGCTTCTGATCTGATGAAATATCCTCAACAGAGTATGATGAGAGAATGAACAGCTTTTTCGCTGACCCAGACCATGTTGATGGCTGATTCACCGACAGCTCAATTCCGGGACACCAGCAGTGCATGAACTGTTCTCCATAAAGCACCCATTCGCCATCTTCAGCAGTTCCGCAGATACTATTACACTATATTGTGTTATAATATGCCATATTCGGCGAACCTTCACTGCTTAATTCAACGGTGAGGTGAATTTGACAAAAGAACGGAAAAATATTCAGCATTGCACTGGGGCGTAGTACGTACATATTTCTATGTATACATATGCGCATATATATATATATATATATATATATATATATTTATATAAGCATATACATCCATATATTTGTTTTCATTTTTTTGCTTGCGCCGGCTGTGGACTCCGGATTTGCACTGGACTGAGGCTGAAAGCATTTCAAGGAAGTGCTGCTTGTTGCCGCTTGCGTGTTGACTTGACCGCCGAACAGTCGAAATTCATCTTACAAAGATAGCCCCTGCATCACTGTTTTCTGCTATCCACCGAAAGAGATACTGTACAGCTTGCGGGAAAGTGAGCTGAGGAGTGCCGGGTTTGAGGGTTTGTGGCATGAAACGGAACAGTCGTTTGCTGCATTGGTTGTTGCTCCAGTGGTGGCGCTGGATCGGGATCTGCTGGCGAAGCACTTGCAACTGTCTGCAGTAGCGGAAGCAGCAGGAAACTGGTGTTCTGCCAATGGAGGAGGAATTTGTGAGACCGCTGGTTGCTTTCTATGCAATCAAACTGGAAGTCATAGAGAAGATATCTGGCTTCTGCGTCCTTGCATGTTCTCTACAGCGGATTGCTAGCCGACATTCTGCACTGAGTTTGCACAGTAGGCGCTGCCTGCTCAACTCTACGGTGTATTATTCGTTGCATGTGGACGTTGGAAAGACGAAAGGATATATGCATTAACGCATAGACAAGTTACGGTATTCGGTTTAGTCGGTTGTTAGCTTAAAGTCCCCCGCAAAACCGCCGGCCTGCGCCTCCTCCTATCAAGATTGCAGCCCCATTAGAGGAAATGCACGCCTTGGGCATGCATGCATGCTTCCTGTCGGTCTGCCTGCATGCGTGCCTGCCTGCATGGATGCTTGCATGCTGCCCTGCGTGCATGCATTCATGCCTGCCTGTATGCATGCATGCATACATGCATGCATTGGCCATCCGCAGCAGTGAACCCAAGCGAAGCACTCGCTTCGTTTGAGTGTCTGAACTGCAGCAAGGTAAGCCAGCTCCAACGAAACGCCTCGCCATGTCACTGCTGCCGGAGCCATGTATATATATATATATATATATATATATATATATA